GTTTGAATTTATCTTTATTAACATTTTATGTGTGATTAATTAAACGTTACTACAATCATGCTTAAATATGACAGTTGCACATGGCCTTGGATTTGATAAGTAATTTTTTAATTATCAAAATTTTTATTTTATTAAAGATTTTTATTTCAACATATTGCTTTTAAAGATGAATAAAATAAATCTTGTAAAAAATAAGTCTTAAAAAAAACAACTGAAACTTAAGAGGAATTTCGTACTTTTAAATTATACATGTATGTAATTTCTGTGTACACTAAATATGTAAATTTGACAACATTTTATTCTTTAAAAAAGTTTTTCATAAATAGAATAACACAAATCCATAGTCATTAGTAAGTAAGTTAGTAACTACTTTATTTCATGAGGCTAACACATTCAGTTTCCTGATCTTCCATGCGGGCCTCATTTAAAGTAAAGTATTAAATAATGATTTATGAAATTTTATTTAAATGTGTTTCCCTACTATCCACAAATGGACAAAATCTGGACAAAACCATTCATCATTTTTATAGAAAATCTCACAATTTCACAAGGATAAGCCGGCTGATCTGGGACTGCACTGGCAATGCATGGGTAAACTCTGTCTCCACCAGCAGACGCCACCAGGTTAACTGGTAAAATTCAAAAGGAGCAGTTTATAATGATAATATATTACATAAATAAGTTAAGAAACATGCACCATTTAATACTATGAAAAGCACAAAAAAAATGCAAATTTTAATATATTAGCCCATTTACAGGTATATTTGATTTTATAATCTGGTTAATACAATAATAGATCGATCGAAGAGTATGACATGACAAATTGTCTGTCACAGTCAAGAGTAGGATTGTGTACATTGTCTTTCCGACCCATCAAGATTTATCCAGGTTTCGGAAGATTAATCATTATTGAAAATGTAAATTAATTACTAATCTCTTTCGGTGTCAGGTTACGTCATTCCGCCTAATGTCTCTATATAAAATTACATATGAAAAATATGAAAACTATTAATGACGGCGGAAAAATTTATGAAAAAGGATTAATAATTTGTGATCGTTTCTGATTTTAATATTTATGGCAGATATTTATGCTGTGAAATATGATTATAAATGGTGTTATGTTGTTATTTTAATTTGTATATGCAATGTCTCCTGCTTAGAAAATGTATATGTAGAATTGATGAATAAATAACGAAAAATGTTTAAGTTGCAAATTTTGCAGAGCTGACATATATTATTGTTTCAATGAAAGAGATTGTTTTACATACAGTATTAAATTTTATGAAATTAGGAATATTAGAAGAAGAAAGATAAGATATTAGATGAAATGTTTAGGGAAAAAAATAAGAATGATACAGTTTTAATATGAGAGTACATTGCGACTGCTTGGTGCGAAAGGGTTGTAACTCCTTCTTTTGTCATTAGAGTTCGCACCAAGCCCTAATTTAATTTGGTTGAAACCTTGAATTATATTGCATCATTTTAACTCTTTAAATGCTACAAAAAATAAGGTGATAATCATAAAGAGCAATAAAAACAAAATGAAATACAACATGTTTGTATCGGCAAGTGCCGCCAAAAAATGTCATTGAGAAAGTCATTAAGATCTTAACTTTGCTATGTGAATAACAGCTTTAATTTAAACGACTTTTCCACTTAATTTTAGAGCGCAATTCTCTTGAGATTTACGCAGTTATCCTTCTTTAAGAATCGTCAAATAAATGTCAAGATTCCGAGGTCTAAAGTTGCATTAAAATACTGATTATGTAATCGTTAAAGCCGTTATATATAACCCACGTTAACTGCAGCATTTCTATTGTTCCATCAGAAGCTATAGTTGGACGTTCTTTTTATATGTTTAGTTGGTTTTTTTTTTCGAAAAAATATATGCGTAGAATTGAAACGAATTAGTTTGTCTAAGTTTTTGACAAGCATTCATCAGTTGGGATGTATAAATTGTTTATTCATGAATGTTGAACGTGGAAATCTATTGTGGGACAGCAGTTTATTAGGGATATATGATCGTGACATTAATCGTGCAAGCTCGTAATATTATATTGCATAAAAATTGATGGCTTTCGAATGGACAAGTGTCAGTTAACACTTGAATTATGGGATTGAATGATCATCAAAATAAGACTGGAGCCAGATCTTTATGTAATAACTAGTTATAGAATATTAAAAAATAGAACAGAATTAATAAAGCAATCTTTCATCCCCCCATTTTTCAATTTCAATTTATTGAACAGAGTTTTTTTTCCTCAGTTAATTGAATGGTTTAGGAAGCTGTCAAGATATAAATGCCATTAAGGTGATGTTAATCATCATGAAATACATGTGAATACAAGGGGCATAACTCTAACTTTTCTCATACATTCAAGATGATTATGTCTTATAGAATTACTCTGCCTGGATTTTGGCAATATCTATTGGTCATTTAAAGGATAATAATTTCAGGAAACTAAAAATTGACCAATCAACTGATATAATAGCTTGGATAGGTTAAATAGCTACACTTGTAGAATTTGACAGTCATTGTTGCCACTAGTTACCAGTGGTCTTAGAATAAACATGATTTAACATTCAGAGATCATCTTCTTTAACCTCTATGGCATAAATTTTAAAGTTAATAAAGTAATATAATAATGTCTTGATTTTGTTATCCTGTTTAAATTTTCCTTGATCTTAAATCCTTCATTCTAATATTAATGTAATAGGTACACTAGCACTTAAATTAGTAATTACTATGAAAGCAAAAAATGTAAAAGTTAAACAATTATGATTTCAGATAGTATAATCTCCATGTCGTTCATATTCTATATTTCAATAATTAATACATTTAAGAAATATAGGACCTATCATTTAATTCTCCTACTAAACAGTTAAATGCAGTGTATTTAAAGAATTTATTACATTAGAGCTGTCACAGTGTAACAACTAACAAATTAATAGAGTACCCCTGTGTAACACTGTCAAGAAATATATCAGTAGATAATACTCGGCTTTGACTGTTTTATATCGGGTAGATTTTCATTTTGATTGATAAATGATGATGACACTGTATATTTTTTATGAAATCTGTAATAAATTGTGATGGTATAAAAACATTAATCATTCTGAAAAGGTTTGTTCAATAGTGTAACTGGTTGACTAGGGAGGCTCATTAATTCTGATTCATACCAGGATTTGTTGGGATATTTTTGGCCATTAATTCTTTCATTAATGTAAATAATTTATGTGAAAGAGCCAAGGGAAAAAAATCCAAAAGATTATCTTCAAGACTATGACAGATGAATTTGCATGCATTTTGATGTGTTTTATATGTGATGTAAGTTTTATTATTTCTGTTCAAGGTTTATTTTGTGATTTTGTTATGAATAAAGACAGACAGTCGGCTATGAATGAAAGTTGTAAAACATCATTGTTTGCTTCAGGATTGGGATAAAAATTCCAGTTCTTTCTCTTTCTAGTATAAAGTTACTCATATAAATGAAATGGTGTTTATATTATAGCTTGTCAGTGGCTCGGTCATAAATTATATTGCTTTTTTCAGTGTCTCTGATTGTATGATATCTTTGGTTCAGTATCTACTAGTATTTAGAACACTTTAACCATAGTCATTGCTTCATGTATATACCGGTACATGTATATGATTTGTTTGTCTGGTTATTACACTGATTTCAATACATTATTGTTCGTATCTTGGTGGACGGGTCCGGTCCACCTAACCAACTTTCCTGGATAACTGTCCAATAATTATCAATATCTCAGCGACCACCCGGCTATTAATCCAACATCATTTTCTGAATCACCAGTAAGAGACAAATGACCATTAGATTTAATGTCTGACATCAGTGGTTATGGAGAAATTTCAGTAAGTTGTCATGGAAAAATTTCAGTCAGTTGTCATGGAAAAATTTCAGTCAGTTGTCATGGAGAAATATCAGTCAGTTGTCATGGAGAAATTTCAGTCAGTTGTCATGGAAAATTTCAGTCAGTTGTCATGGAGAAATTTCAGTCAGTTGTCATGGAGAAATATCAGTCAGTTGTCATGGAGAAATATCAGTCAGTTGTCATGGAGAAATTTCAGTCAGTTGTCATGGAGATATTTCAGTCAGTTGTCATGGAGATATTTCAACTGACCTGAGGATTTAACAAGTGACCCCTGGATTACAAAGCTGATGCTCTCCCTATCAAGCTAATAGCAGGCATTTATATGAACTGCATCTCTTTCAAAATTTCATAATGCTTCATTGAAGTGTACTATTATATCTACCATTTTGTATTTAAGCTGATGTAAACGATATTTTATAATAATTAATGAGAATTACTCAAAATAAGAAATTTGAAGATGATGTAATATATTAATGTTGACATGTCTATTCAAACAAGATGTGGCTAATGGAAAGGGATGATAAGCGTTTCCCATGAACATAATGTTATTGTGGTTTGTTCTATGACGTCTTGTGGCTTTGCAAAAAAAAAAAAAAGTTGTGCAGGCTGTATAAAACAAACAAATTTTGAGTGATTTAATTGGATGATAAATATAATAATCAGTGATATGTTCTTGAACCAGGATGTGTTGACAGGCTGCACATGCACTCACTAATTGATGAAATTGTAACTAATATACTAGTTATTCAGAAGTATTACCAAATTTTTAAAGCTTATAATGGAACTTTCGGTAATTGTTTAGAAATCAAAATAAAGGTACTTTATTTAATTTTTTTTTTATTACAGATAAAACTGTCTTCTGATTAATGCTGTAAGGTTGTAAAAAATTTCCAGATAATTATTCTATTTTGTTTTCAGGCCATTTCCAATAATTCATATGTATACATGATTATTTCAGCCAGTAACATGTTAATGATAATGGTGTTGAATAGTTCTGAAAAAAAAGATTATGGGTAATAAATACCTCCTAATGGATATATGTTAGGAAAATTTTTGTAATGTTTGTGTTCTATGTCTTCTAAACATTATTATCTTTCTACTTTCAGCATCAGGTGATGATGAAGATGATGATGACAAAGATAAAAACACAGGAAACATGCAGATAGAGAATTTGACCAAACCCAGTTGCTTTGACAACAAATTGAATGAACTTGACTTGAAGGAAAACCAGGTAGATGACATTGAAGTGAATCATACAGATTTAAAGATGGAGAGTGAAAATATTGAAAAAGATGTGGTGAAATGTGAAAAAATAAATGGCTGTCAGAATGATGAAAATGAAAATATGACTGTTGAAGACAAGAAAACCAAATCTGTGAAACATGAAAATGATGAAAAAGAAAATATTGTTGAAGAAACTGATTCTGATATCACTGAGAAGGAGAATCTTTTTGTCAAGAAAGAAAACAATATGGATGAAATAGATATTGAAAAAGAAATAAAGAAAGAACTTAAAGAAGCTGTTGAAATAAGAATTCCAAAAATTAAGCACAAGTTAGATTTAGAAGATTATAAATGGATGTCGGGTTGTCTTGAAAAGTCAAACAAGAGGCCAGAGACTCCGCCTCTTCAGAAACTAATGAGACAAGATTTCTCTCCCCTGAAGTCAGGTAGTTTATCATCTCCATCTCCTCCAAAAAAGTTCAAAGAAAGTTTGTCAAGTAAAGAAGGTTTTACATCAAAACTAGCATCAGTAATCATACCTAGTACAAGTATGAGTGTTCCCCCAAAGACTGCCTCCCATCCAAAACAACTCTTATCACATTCAATAGCTAACCTAAGAACATCTAGCATGAAACAATCAAGTTTTTCTAAATCTGCATTTTCACACAGTTCTTACCTTTCAAGGTCATTTCCGTTGAGTCAATCATTTTTCACATCAGCGGAAGAAGAGCAGCCTTTAGACCTTTCTAAAAAACCTTCTTCTAAAACCTCACATGAGCCTAAAGCTAGCCCAAAGAAAAATGGAAATTCCAGATCAGAATTGCGTAAACATGAAAATGGACTCTCGTCAACTAGTTTGCAAAGTTTACAACAGAAATTTGGCGGGGATTTTCATCTGCGTGGATTAAGAAAACCATTGAATTACATGTTGTATGGACCAGAGATTCCCGCTCTTCATCAAGCATTACTTCATTCAGCATCTATGTCACTACCTCATTTCGCTCTACCAATGACAAATGGTCAACCTAAAATAACACCAGAGAAGATATATCCTTCTAGACATCGAAATTTGACCCCATCACCTTCCCACAAAAGTAGGAGTGATGAAAGTGTTAAAAGTATAAAGAGGGAAGATGTTGCACCAGTCGAGAAATCAATCAAAAGGGAATTGGAAAAGGTTGATGTTGAAAGTGATCCTAGTCTTGAAGAAAAACAAGGTGAAAATTACACAAATCATCTATGTACATGTGGAAAATGGTTTGATGGCCTGTACTCACTGAGCCTGCACTTACAGGAAACAGGACATCTTCCAGCCAGGAACAAGTCTGTTAGTTTGTTAGAGTATCCCAAACTTGTTAGGGGTCAAGATATGTGGTTGAATCAGGAATCTGAACAAACTCGTAGAATTCTTCGCTGTATTCAATGTGGGGAGTCATTTAAAACACTGCCAATGTTAACAGTACATATGATGAAGACTCAGCACTACACAAAGATTGTAAGTTCTGAGCATGCTCGAAGAGCTCACAAATGTTCAGCTTACTGTGACAAAGAACAGGACAAGGAATGTGTGTTCAAGTGTAAAGTATGTCAGGAATCATTCTCCGACATGGAAGGCTTAGCCAATCACATGATCATGTCTGGTCATCATAAAAAACAATCACCCAGACCACCACAGTCATTCAGTGAACTTCAATTTAAGAAAAGGAAGCGTTATAGTTTTGATGAATCATTAAATCCATATGGAAATCCAAGCATGGCAGCTATGTATGACTACAAAAGGCATTTAGCTGGTGGCTCAGCTAGTCCGGACCTTTCAACAGAAGAAAGTGATGATAGTAGAATTAACTGTGAGAACTGTAATTGTAAAATTGAAACTAAGTCATTTGTAGAACATGTTAGAGCATGTCTAGGACAGAAACTAAGAGAAGATGCTGCTAGAATAGAGAAAGAAAATGCTAAAAAGGCAAGTAAAGATAAGAGAAATTTTGACAAAGCAAATGACGAGGACTCTGATCATTTTAGATCGTCTGAGAAAAAGAGAAAATTAGAAAATGGTTCGAGTAAATCTAATAGTGATAGTGAAGATGAAGAAGTAAAGTCTGATGTAGATGTAGAATCATTAGATGATGATAAAGATAGTAAAAGTATGCTAGATACCACAGACAGTTTAGATAAATCCAAATTTGATAAATCTAGGGACACAAAAGAATCTGAAAAATCCATTAAAGTTGAAAGTGATAGTGATGAATTAGAACTAGGCGAGATCAGAGACAATAGTAAAAATATTCTTAAAGAAATCCAAACTCTTGTAGATAGTAAAAGCTCTAAACGTGAGAGAATAGAAAATATAGATAAAACTGAAGTTGCTAAAAATGAGGGTGAGAAGAGATCAGAAGGGAGTGGTTCAAAGAAAGTTTCTCTTGGTAAAAAACTGGATATCATTGATCCTGATCATGCTAAGGAAGCAAGTGAAGGATCAGCATTGTCCGCAATGGAATCATTTATCAAAAAGAGTTTCAGTAACAAGTTTGACTATAAAAAGGGTAACATAATCATAAGTCCACATAGTAGTTCAGATGCCACAATTCATACTAGACCAATTAATAGTGCAATGAGTTTTGATACAACAGATTATTTAAGTCGTTATAAGAACTTCTATGCAGCGCTCAATTTAAACTTGGGTAATGGTTTTAAACAAGGACATAATGAAAGAGAAGGGAGTAAGTCAAAAGTTAATAGTCATGATGTAGTAAAGAAGGAAATAAGATCAAAGTTGGAAAAAGGGAAAGAGAGGTTGGAAAAATCAGGATCTCCTAAATCTGAAGGAAGTGAAGAAAAAGATGATGGGAGGAGTAGCGTGAAGTCAGGTATATCTGATGCTTCTAGTCAATTGGACAAAAATGAAAACTTAGAAACTAAGTATTTGAATATGGATGAAAATGAGGAAGAGAGTAAGGTAGACAAAGAAAAATCCTCTGCATTAGACAATCTAAGTAGTTTTGTATATGGTCAGAACTTAACAAGTGAACATCCATTGGATAGTTTACAAAGACTGATCACAAAATCAGACATTCCAAAGTTAATGGGTACGGCAGCAGCTTCCCATGGTTTTAAATACCTCCCTCCTCATTTAGCGTTACATCAATCCAGTTTAGACCTTAGCGTGCCTCTAAATTTAAGTGTAAAATCTCAAAATGGCGACAGCGATGAGGATGAAACTAAATCGCGACCAGACGAAGATAGCCTGTCAGATTACGAAGCGCTTAATTCACCTACAAATAGCGACGGCGAACCTATGGAATATCGTTGTGCTGCTTGTAGTCGAAAGTTTGCGTCAAAAGGGTCGTACAGGTATCATCTAAGTCGATGTCATCTCTCAAGTGTGAAACGGTACGGGATCAAGGAGGCATTTAACATGAGTCCATATGTGTATTTACCATTGGATCATACTGCCAAATTCTCAAAATATTATGAGATGGCAAAGGAACTTGCTAATAAGGCAAAAGAAAATAGAACTAAATGAGAATCTCATAACCTGGTAAACTGACTTATATCACAGTACTGTAAACAGTTTGTTAATATAATATACTATACTCTTAGTTATCACATTCTTGACAACGGTATTTTTTCTTGTCGTAATGACCACACTACAAAATGATGCATTTCTCTATATTATAGTTATCTCAAAACTTTCCGAATACTATACTTTAAAGTGGCATTTTTTCCATGTTTACAAATTGCCTTTCACCAGTATGTTTAATTCATTTTAAGTGCATAAAAATAGGTATTGAAAGTAGATTTATGAGCACATAAAATATATTTGTACATTATATTTTCTATTCCAAACTGAAATTTGCATTTTATTGAGAAAACGAAAATGAGTGTTAAAAAATGTTTCATAAAGTTTTGTGAAACTTTTGAATTATGATCTTCAGAATGATTCATCAAATATTTATACTCCTTCAATTATATATGATATATATTATACATTTCTAAAATCAAGAACCACTTAAAGTATTATCGCAAAGAAGAAATATTCATTTTTTTGCTGTATGAATTTTTATATAGACAAAAAAACAACAACAATATTTAGAAGAAAAACAAATCATTGTAAGTAAAAAAAAATGAATTGTTGATAAAGAAGTCTTGTTTACCAGGTGTTGAAAAAGAATTAGAAAAGAATTCCAAGTATTTGAGTATCCTATATGGGTTGTGAACTGTTATTTGTTATGAAATTCTTTATAATTGATATTTTACATAGCTTTATATATGTCATATGTCATAAGCTTTCTTCATGTCTTTTATTTGTTGTTGTTTTTTTCTTTTTTCACATTATTATTAATGCTGTCTATGTATATTTAGATTGCGCAACAAGTTTTGGTGCTTTATAAGAAATTAATTTGCATTTATTCTGACTGCTGTCTTCATTAAGTAACACTTTATCTTATTGAACTTAACACTGTCATTTTTTTATTCATTTTTTTTTTTACTTTTAAAGAACAATTTTCCTCAATTTTCCTGCTTGTCAGGTCTTATAGGTCTAAGAGCTGATTGGTCTGTCATTTGAACCAGTGAATTTTTTCACTTAATTGGGAAGAGGCCTTAGCCTTTTGATTTTGGGAAAAATTATCGCTAAAACTGCTTATTTGGGAAGTAAAAAAGCAGGTTTAAGTTACGATTTTTGGGAAAACTGCATGATTTTAAAGAAATTTTTAGTTGGTAAGAGGCCTTTATATAAACAGGAAAGTCACTGTGACCAATAACATGCACTCTTTCAAAGATTCCTCCCACAATATTTTCTTATCTTAAATAATTATTAAAGTAAAAGTGCATTTACATTTACTTAATAGTGAGGTGGTTAAATAATAGCTTAGTAAATTTTGATACCATGGTAACTGTTGTATGTTCTGAATTTATTAGGAGGTATTTTAGATTTAATCAGCCCCCCACACCTTTTTTTGAAAGAGACTCAGGCTTGCGTACCTCACGAGACATTTTTGTTTTTTATTAGAAAATTTGATCTATTTTGATCTAACATTCTTAATGGCATTTATTGGTATGTGTTCTAAGCCATGTCCTCAGAATAGCATTTTTTTTGGATATCTCTTAAATATACAAGAATTCCAGATGTTAAGACTTTACTTTGATTTTCCATGGTCATGTAGGCATAAAATTTTCTATGTAAAAACAGTTGACAAAATTTGTCCATTCTTTTAAACATTTGGTATACAATTCCGTTTTTTCTGCAAGAATTGTGACTGTCTGTGTCATGTTTTGTTAAGCAACTGTTGTTGTTAGTTTTGGAAATTTTGTTATTATTGTTTGTAAGTTATGAATGTGTTAAGGGTAGTAGTGAATATTATTGTTTGTAAGTTATGGACATTTTAAGGGTAGTGAATATTATTGTTTGTGAGTTATGAACGTGTTACGGGGAGTGAACCTCAACAAAACTTTGTAAATATTAAAAGATATTCATTAAATGAATGGTACAGCATTGACAATCAATGTAGAATTTTTTTAAAGCCTATCTTCCTTACATTATTTTACTATATTATACATGTATATTACTTATTGTAAGAAAACAAGAGATATTGTACAGTTTTAATTTTGTGATTTATACACAGCCTCTCTTTTTCCCCCTTTGCAATTCTTAAATAAGTTAGACATTAATTAAAATTTTACTGGAAATATAGCATTATTTAGAATTTATAAATTTCTAAGAATTTCTTTGCACATTTATGTGCGGTTATAAAAACAAATTGTGATACAGTTGCTATTTAGAATCTTAACACTTTATTATGGACAACATCATATAAATCAGAAAGTGCTGATCCCCATAGCTGCTTGTATAAAAAGTTATCAATAAATTAAAGCTATAAAGTAATGGCAGCACATAACTGAATGTTTCTGGGTTTTTTACTCGACTTTTACTTGTACTTAGAAATTAATGACAGTCAGATCATAATTATACTTCCTCCTGTTAGAAAAATAAAGTTGATGTTTCTTTTTGCAGGATTTGTTTATCTGCCATACAAGTAAATTTTTTTTGGCAAGGAAATATATCTGTTTAAGAAAATTAATTAGACTCAACATTGGATATTATTTATATCAATAGATGATATCCCATTGACGACTAATAAAGCAAAAATTGAAAAATTTGTGGGAACATGGAATCCTATAAAATGCTAGAAAAAGTTTTTAGTTTCAAATTCATAATGTCTTCCTGTCAGACCCATTTAGAGGTCACAGGGTCAAGGTTATTAAGACTTCCAAGTTCAAACCATAAAACAAGAAATTCTTCCATCCATAACTTCACAGATATTGTATCTTCATGCACTCTACCCACAAGACCCCCTCAAAGGTCATGGGGTCGAAGGTCAAATAAACAGGGTCAAGGTCGTCAGGGGAGCATTGGGATCATTCAAAATTAACTTGGTTATATACCTTTTTTCCTTCATTTTTTTTTTATTTGGCTATTTTAAAACGCAAATAACAAATGCAAGATTAGAAACAAGTTCTAAGAAAAGATAAAAACAAAGATTGCATTTTAAAATGTCCCTGCAAGCAGACTGTCTAGTTCACGACTGTCATAAAAAATGATCAGTCGAGACTAGCTTTTACCAAGTTGATAGATAGCTGATGTGATGATGAATTTGTTTATTTCATGTTTTATATAAGGGAGGAAAATTAAGTGATTATTCATAGTTATGTATGATGGAAGCAGTGTTTTTGCAGAATGACAAACAAAATGGCAACAATCCGTCACAATTACGTGCTTTCCATCAAAATGACGGATTTTTCTGCGGGTTATAATGGCTACAAGCATGAAATAGTATATTATAAAAATTTATGAACAGATTTTCTTGTCAAAGACAGATTGCTGCGTTTTAGAATATAACGCATTGTGTTAAAGTAAAAATATGACTAGAAGTCATGTAAATGGATATTTGAAACTGTTCACATTATTTTTAATGAAATGGTGCATTTTTGGTATAGCAGTAATTTATTATGAAATTCTAGACTTTGAATTTCAGTCAGATTTATCACTCTTATGTTGTTTTTTTTGTTACATTCATCTTAAGTTGTAATCGTGATAGAAATAATGTATGCTGCATAACAAATTAATAAAATATTATCACCTTAGTGCAGTAACGGGTTAACTCCTTATATAATTTAATAGGAGATAACCTGTTACTGCAGAAACCTGACAGTATCTAAAGTTGACTTTCACAGTCCTGTACTTTCAGACAGTAAAACTGGCCTAATTCATTCAGTAAAGATATTCCATGTTTACTTCACTTACAAATGTACTAAGCTTTGCTTTTACTTTTTTTTTCTACATAAGTGTTCAAAATCTGTTTTTGTGCAGTGGACAAATATTAAGGGAAATTTTTATTGCATTTATGAAGGTTTATTGAAGAATATCAAAACATTGAACCCAAAGAGTTATAGGTACAACACTGATAGATCTATATTATAGATATTGAGACAGCATATATAGACAAATAAGCTGATCAGTTTTATATGCACAATAAGTGTTAAAAATGAAAAAAAATCATCTTGTAGAAAGGGGAAGATGTGTTTTATAATGTTGAAATAATGGGCTAAGAGCATGTTAGATACTTATCACTTGATAAAAATGGCACCAAATGAAAAAAAAATTATCATATAAGTAGCAAAATGTGAAAATAGAGTGGTATTTTGACTTCCATACAAAATTACTATAAGTATACTTATTCCCCCCTCCCCCCAAGAAAAAAAATGGCTCAGCTTTATGGCCAATAAGTAACATTTGGAAATGGTAACAAGACACCCAAAACAAAAGCCTTTGAAATATTGAAAATTATAATGAAAATTTTTGAGGCTTCATGGGCTTTTAATTATCTTTTTAAATATTAGTAGACATCCCTAAAACTTAAAACTAATTAGAAGCAAGTTGGAGTTTAGTACATTATTCAATTACAGCAAAGTAGGAATTAAAACAGTATAACCTATTAGTCCTGTGTATATATTATGTTGGAGAGAGAGAGAGAGATTTTTTATTCCTGATATTTTTTCATTGTAATCCAATTACATATCACACTTGTTTTTCTTTTGCTGCTGTGTTCAGTTTTGTACAGTTGTGTACCTTTGTTGTTTTCTTGTATTACTTATTTATTACAGACTTACTTTTGATGATACATTTTAAGAATTTATTAAGATTTATTTAACACATTTGTATTCATATTTTAATAGCTAAAACAGGTAGGAAAAAGAAAGAACTTGCATTTGTATGTTTTTTTATAGTACAGAAATTTGAAATTATTTGTCTGGTTACAAAACGAACATGTGCAATTTAGTGTTCTGCATGCATGAAAAATCCATGCAGATATCATAAAGTACATGTATATTTATTGACATTAATAAGTTCTGACAATACGCCATTTTTTGCCACTTTCCTTGTTTTATTAAAATGAATTAAACTTTGGATATGATAAGGAATAACAAAATGTTAATTTATAACTGATGACTGAAAAAATATAAGGTCTAGCAGATGACAAATTTGTCTGAATTAAATCAAGACAATTCTGGACAGAATACCTTAATTATTATAATGTATATTTGCTGAAACAAAAATTGACACAAACATTTTATTGGTGTTTAAATTTGTTTTTTAACCTGTGTGTAACTGATGTTTATTTGTTTCTATTTTATTACTAAGAAATCCTTATTATTATACCGTTTTTTCTTTCAACACCAGGGTTTATTTTATCATCAATACCCAAAAATATTTCAAAATTGCCATATCATAAAAATCCTGTAGATGTTGTTTTATTTGCTATGCCACTCATTTTGTTTGTACACGATGTCTACTTTTTAACTTAAGGTTATTGAAATCAGTCTATCTTAACTATATAATTAATTATATAAGTGAAGAAGATTTTCTTTTATAAATACTTTCCTTCAAAGCCAAAACCAAAGTTACTATGTAACAAATTCAAATATCCAAAGATGATTTTACTTTACAAAGCTAAAAAGGTTGCTTGTGTTAAATACATTTTAAGAAATTTCATGTAAATTTATCATCCATTTGTTTTGAAATTCCAGTAAAGAGAATTTTATCTTTAAAATATCCATTTAATATGTCAGCACAAAAATTGTTGCATGTAGTTTTTTTTCTAATTAATGAAAATTGATAGAAAAAAAACCCTACAAAAATAAATAACTAATGCTTCAAAACGAACATATTTTCTTATTTTAATATTTTACCAACATTCTACAAATAATAGGTTGTATGTATAGCAATTTTCTGAATTGTTTTTACAAATATTTGTAAATTGATATTTTATTTTACTTCTTTTGAAATGAAATAAAGGCATGCATACTTTATCTTAATTTTACAACATATCCCCATTTATGTTGCATTTCAAGTTTTCTTGGTAAACCTCATAGAATGGAAATGCTTTAAATTTTAAAATCTTACATTATGATCTTGAAAACATTGAATCTTGTAAAACAATATTTTACCTTTTTAATGAGGAATTAATCTGTATACATGTTTTTTTTTACAATTCATCATCTCCCCAATGCCATGTATGATTATACATGTATACCATTTTAATTTCATATCTTACATTTTATAGATTTGACATTTTACCTGTTAGCTTTATACTTATATATTTGGCTTACCTTTTTTGGCTTTATTACCATCCTTAATTCATTATATACCTGTATTACATCACTTTTTGCCTTTTTGATGTTCTGTGAATTTCCATGGTTGAAAATATGTTTATTACTATAATACAAACAAATATGAAAAAAAGAATGAGAATGAGTTGTTTTATTTTACTTTTCCATGAAAACTTACTGCAGTTAACACAGCCATCTCTTTGACTTTGGTGACCAACCTGCTGATCTTCCTGAAGCCTAATATTAATGTTGATATTTGTAGTATGTAAGAACAAGTTGACGATCTGGATTTAAAATCATACAAAGCCCTAGAATTAGAACATAGGCATGAAATAAGGTTTCCATAGAGCAAAGTGACATACTATATAAATATCACTACCTACGGAGGATTATTGAAGGAAATGTTCACCTTAGACAAGTGATGTCAACAGATGTCAATGGAAGAATTATGACATGATAACTTAAATCCAGCACCCCATGTGCACAGTTTGGTAATGCTGTCATATTATGTAACAGGTTGTTACTGGTACCTTCTGATTAAATACATAATTTCAGACTATAAAGTAAATAAATCACATGAGGTGTTACATGATTTGTTATAATTATAGGAATTTAAAAACTTACATGCAGGAGACACTGCTTCTGTTGTGCCATACCATAACAATTGTGCAAAATTAAGGCAGTGGCTCCATCTTGACTGTTACAATCATACAAGAGTAAGGCTGTGGCTCCTAGTTTACTGTTACAGACATACACGACTGAGTCTGTGGCACCTTGCTGACTGCTGATCATACAAGAGTCAGGCTCTGTGGCCCCTTGCTGACTGTTACATTCATACAAGAGTAAGACTGTGGCTGCTAGTGTACTGTTACAATCATACAAGAGTAAGACTGGCCCCAAGTTGACTGTTACAATCATACAAGAGTAAGGATGTGGCTCCTAGTTGACTGTTACAATCATACAGGACTCAGGCTGTGGCACCTAGTTGACTGTTACAATCATACAAGACTCAGGCTGTGGTACCTAGTTAACTGTTTCAATCATACAAGAGTAAGGATGTGGCTCCTAGTTGACTGTTACAATCATGCAAGAGTAAGGCTGTGGCACCTAGTTGACTGTTCCAATCATACAAGACTCAGGCTGTGGCACCTAGTTGACTGTTACAGACATACATGACTCCAGCTGTGGCACCTTGCTGACTGTTACAATCATACAAGACTCAGGCTGTGGCTCCTAGTTGATTGTTACAATCATACAAGAGTAAGGCTGTGGCTCCTTGCTGATTGTTGCAATCATACAACAGTAAGACTGTGGCTCCTAGTTGAATGTTACAATCATACAAGACTCAGGCTGTGGCACCTTGCTGAATGTTACAATCATAGAAGACTTGGGCTGTGGCACCTTGCTGATTGTTGCAATCATACAAGAGTAAGACTGTGGCACCTAGTTGTTTCTTACAATCATACAAGAGTAAGACTGTGGCTCCTAGTTGACTGTTACAATCAGACAAGACTCAGGCTGTGGCACCTTGCTGACTGTTACAATCATACAAGAGACAGGCTGTGGCTCCTAGTTGTTTCTTACAATCATACAAGAGTAAGACTGTGGCTCCTAGTTGACTGTTACAATCAGACAAGACTCAGGCTGTGGCACCTTGCTGACTGTTACAATCATACAAGACTCGGGCTGTGGCACCTTGCTGATTGTTGCTATCATACAAGACTCAGGCTGTGGCACCTTGCTGACTGTTACAATCATACAAGACTCGGGCTGTGGCACCTTGCTGACTGTTACAATCATACAGGACTCAAGCCGTGGCACCTTGTTGACTGTTACAATCATACAAGACTCAGGCTGTTTGCACCTTGGTGACTGTTAAAATCATACAGGACTCAGGCTGTGGCACCTTGCTGACTGTTGAAATTATACAGGACTCAGGCTGTGTCTCCTAGTTGATTGTAACAATTATAGAAGAGTAAGACTGTGTCTCCTAGTTGACTGTTACAATCATACAGAACTGTTACTTGCTGACTGTTACAGATATGCAAGATTCCTAGTTGATATAATTATTACAAATACACAAGAATAAGGATGTTGCACCTTGTTGACTGTAATAATCATACAGTAGTCAGAATCATGCAAAGACTTGGGCTGTGGTTCCTAGTTGACTGTTACAATCATACAAGAGTAATGCTGTGACCTACAATCCTATAAATCTAAGGCTGGAGCTTGGATGTTGACTGTTACAATCATACAAGAGTTAGACTGTGGCTCTTAGTTGACTGTCATAATCTTGAAAAGAGTCGACAGTGGCCATGTCAACATGGCTCTTGTTCAGTATGTGGTTTTGCAGTATTGGCTTAGAAAGGACATAGAAGTATGCTAGGGTCACAAATAGCAGAATGAAAAGTATATTATAGAATTTATTTAAACTTTGATCTTAGAGAACGTTAATAGAAACATTTTAAGCAAATACAAAAAGGGGGCATTGACCTTTTTGAGTTATTTGCCCTTGAATTTGACCATTTTACTTATTTCAAGGGCATTATTTGAGATAATTCATAATTAACTTTAGCAATGCCTTATTTTTCTGTATATAAGCTCAGTTTTGATGAAAGCAATAGTATTGTATGTAAGGCATTCCATTAATCATGGCAGGATAAATAAAACCAGTACCACCATTTAAACCCATGCAGCAGACTTGAAACATTCATGGGGTATGTACATGAAAAGGAGATGGCTTCAAAATTTGAATGATCATTTATTTTATTTCCCCCAAGTGTCAAATCTAACATTTACATTCTCTTATTTGTGGAAGCTCCCTAACTAAAGGTAGTAGTACTATTCCCTTAACAGTGATAGTGTGACTTAAAATAAGAGCAAAACAAATTTTAACTATTTCTACAATGCAAAAGTAGCCCCAGGTAACATAAGTTAAAGGTCTATAAAGCATGATAGGTTCAGGCCGTTTTGTAATATATATATATATATATATATATATATGATCTGCTGCTGAAGCAAATTGTGTGCAAGTTTTGTTCAAATCATAAATAAAACAGCTATCATGCTGACATGACAAAATATGCCCTATCTTGACCATTACAGAGGCCTTAACCATGTCGTGTACAATACTACCATGTTTATAACATAACTAGTGTGACAACCTTGTTCTGTTTGGATCACTATATAACATGTGGTGTTCAACACATGTTTACAGTATAATTAAACAAACCAATATAGTGAAAAGTAAGACACAACAGATATTTTACATAAATTTTAATTAATTTTAAATAAATTGTCATGGCAACCCAACAATATGAAACATTTGTTAACATTTCAAGCAAATGAAAAATAACCATCAATAACAACAACATGTAGGGTTAACAGAATAAAAAAAACTTTGTCAGATCCAAACTGAAACTATCATTTTAAAGCCAAAGGCCGTTATCAATCCTGATAATAAAGACCATTCTAATAATATTAATATGTGGTCTTTTATCCCAGGTGGCCTTTATGTATAAGTTTAACTTCATTTTAAATTGACAAATTTACACAAATAAAAATCAGTGTTCACATAACATGCAATTAATTATGTGGAATAAACATTGTTTAAAATACACTATAACTTAAAACAAGTCATTGTTCATTTCCTCTAAGATATTTCCTCTCTGGACAGATGTGACAGTAATAAAACAAAACAGAATGAACATTATTAAAAATACATTTTCAAGCAAAGACCTTAATCATAAGAATAAAAGAAATTATAGAATGCTACATTGGTTCATTGCATTTAAACAAAATTAATTGAAATGTAAGAAATGGCCATATTTCATTTTAACCATAACATTGACATGTAAGATAAATTCCATGAAGTGGTTTTACATATCAACATCAATGCAACAAAGTGGTGACAGAATTTACTATAAGATTAAATTATAACTAATTACAGAACCTTAATAAATTGCATTCTTGACTTTCAGGAAAAATCAACCCAAGAAGTGAAATTAAATATAAAACTGTTTTTAAAATCTTTTTTAATCTTAGAGCAAACTAAATTTTTTTTTTAATTTTTGGTTCCATTTTAAATTAATCAAAAAAGGAAAGGATTACATAAAATTATCAGAAAAAAATTTGTATGAAAAACAGAATGGCAAGAATTGAATTTATCAACAAATAGGTTATATCAGTTAAACAATTAACATTCAATACATATGTAGCCAGAGCTCTAAACCTATGCCGCAAAAGTAACAACAGTTTGAATACAGGTTTTATTTTTATTTTCTCCACTTAATGTATAAAATTCATCAAAATGATGTCAAAATGTTATGTTTTCGAAATGTTATGTTGAAAAAAAAACAATAGATCTATCACAAAGACATTCTATATGTAACAATAACTACATGTATTTCTTAAAAAATTATGGATCTGGTTCAAATGGTCAAATGGTTTAAACTTTAGTGTAACATATTCTACCATAAAATTATTGATGCTGATCAACTATTACAGTAGAATTCCTTACTCAGTTATGCTCTTCCATTTAAGAAAAAACAACAACTTCTTTTCTTATTAAAAGGTTCTTGTGACCTTGACCTCTGTTTCATTTACTAACTGGGATAGGGGGAGGGGGGAGGGGTAATAAATATGTCAAAGCTCATGTTTTAACTTATAGTTTTGTTGTGCAAAGCTGAACAAGGTGCAAAAGAGTTAACAGTTACTACTTAGAAATTATTTTATTATATTTTAAAGGACATAGAGAGAATGGGAAAGTAATATTGTGATCTACTAACAAATTTCAATACTCACTACAATGTATGTATTAACACATCTTTCATATTATTACCAGTAGTATAAATCTTGTAGTATCATGTTAATGCAGTTATTTTTGAAAACCTGGTAAACTTTTAAGAATTTCAACTAAATCAACTCACGTCATATTTATTGTAGAATCACACTTGTGGTGCCAAATCATTAACATCTGTGTTTGATTGATTTCCATGCATTAATTACTTCAGTCTATCAATGACACAAAAACATACATATCTGAACACAAATGATTGTCTCAACTTAATTCACCTAATAAAACAGCATGCCTCCAAAAAATTCAAGCTTATTTTCATAAAAATTTTGAATGTATTTGAATATACCATTTCATGCAGTGAACAATGAAATTATTCACACACTGCAAAAAGCAATGCAAAAAGATCAAAATATGTAAAAAATTAGCCATTACTATGTTAGTTAGGCAGTAGAAATATGGTGAAAAATACTGCAAACTCAGTCATAAATCACACAGTAAATGTAAATTATTACTTGAATCTGGAATCTTTTTTACTATTCTTAAAATCTTAGTACATTTTTCTTAAGTTTTATTTTCATGAAATATTTTGGCTCATCTGGAGGCATGCAGCTTTCAAATCTACAGGTATGTTTATTCTCAAGTTTACTGTTTACCGGCGAGTCCAAAATTTTATTTCCCTAAAACAATGAATGATAACTTCACACTGTATTGAAAACACTTCCTTCATTTTGAAGTTACAAGTATTTTGTGGATTTCTGTTAGCTTCTCCTACTGGAAAAAAATGTTCACCTAAAAAGACATTTGAGCCAAGCCATGACAAAACCAACAAAGTGGGTTTGTGACCAGCATGGATCCAGACCAGCCTGCCCATCCGTACAGTCTGATCAGGATCCATCCTGTTCGCTATTAGTTTCTCAACTTGTAATAGAGTTGGTAAGCGAACAGGATGGATCCTGATCAGACTGCGCGGATGCACAGGCTGGTCTGGATCCATACTGGTCGCAAACCCATTATGTTGGTTTTGTTGTGACGCGGCTCATTTCTAGTTAACACTCAGTTTGTAAACAATGCTTCTGCCACTTGTCCGAGATTAATATCTTGACTAATAACTTGATCTTTAGGTTCAACAGTATCACTAATGGCCTCACTAGAACTTGTAGTTGCTTCATTGTGTGGTTTCAGCATGGATTTCATCGATATTACCATATCAGCATGATGGGCACGTTTAATGTGAGTTTTTAGATTTCCTTTTTGTGTGAATGCAGTGTTACAATACTGACATTTATGGGGACGTTCCCCGGTGTGTTTCTTCATATGTATCTGTAGGGCATTCTTCTGGTTAAATGCTTTACCACACAGTGAACAAATAAACGGTCTTTCTCCTACAAAATATACAAATCATAGCTTCTATAAATTCATGATTACTTGTTTCAAGTTTTTAATGTTAAGATATTACTAAACACTCTGGAAACAATAAATAAATAATCTATATTCATTTAATATACAGCAAGCTCCAACAAAGGTTGGGTTTTACAGGATTGTTTAATTTTACTGCCACAAATTCCTCCATGCATGTAGAAGATATGCTCATAACAAAACTGGATGCTGGCATCAAACTTCCCACTTACCAGCCTGCTGCCCACCAGGAGTATCCCATAACATGACCTTTTTTTTTTCAAACAGCCATATAAAAATTGTTTTTCATGATTTGAAACCTTTCTTGAATGACTTTACAGAGTGTATTAGTGGCAATATAGTTTATATGTCTACTTCTCAATCTAAAAACCTAACGTTCAAGCCCTAATATGGTCACAACTGTGAATCCTCATAAACTTAAGGGTAATGGACTGCCTGCCTTGAATGTTCCCGTAATTTTACCTTAGTTGAAAAATTTGTATAAAATTTAGCTTTATAATTACAGCTATGGGATAATTACAAACCTGTATGTATTCTGACATGTCTGTCTAACTGACTAGGTTTCTGAAATCTTTTGTCACAAAACTGACAAATATGAAATCCATCTTTAGTTTTCCCCATGTCTGCCCCCTTCATGTGAGTTTGAATGTGCTCCTTTAAATGACTGTTCCTCTTGAATGTTTTCTGACAAATCTGTGACAATAAAATACCATACAATACAATAAACCATTTATTTTAAGAGCAAACATCCATGCAGTCTGATAAGGCTCATTATTGTTCGGCTGGCAAAATTCAAATTATCATCTTGATACCCCAAAAGTTGATAATGAACAGTTCTTAAAATGGAAGTCATATTCATTAAGTAACCACAGCAACTGCCTTCAATTACCCAAATGTTGTTTCATAAAGAGTTTTTAGCATTACTCTGTGAAAAGCATATATTTTAAATGTATTACCAAAGAACAATTTTAGTATCTTCAATGCTCCCAAAAAATCCAAAAAAAAAGTCAACAAATATGTTTATTTGTTCTCATTTCTTTTTTTCCTATGTTTTCATCAGGACTTCAGTATCAGGCTTGCTGGGAAATTAATTTAAACAACTTGTACATATCTAGATTGTGTGCATTTATCAGGTAGCAACCTGTTTCCCTGCAATTCAATCAAACTACTCTAGAAAATTTGATACCCTACTGTGAAATTAACAATACATGTACCTCTTCAACTGTAAATACAATGTACATGCATGTGATTGCTATATTGAATGATTCACACACAGACACACATGTCAACTTAATTAACTATAACACTAGATGACAAGCTGGCTCTATATTGACTAATGTGCTTCATAATCAAATATTAAAATTTCATACTCCTGTTTTATTATGCTCACAATTAATTGTCTCGATTGCTGGCATCAGCATAAATGCTAATCTATATTTCTAGCTATAGTACATTCATTAGAACATATTATTCAAAGTTCTAATAGTTTTTTTTCCTTAAAAAAATATGTACCAGTGTTAATTAGGTTACAATTTTTTTATTCCAAGTACTACTAATAAATAATTTTTCATGAGTAACTGTCCTCTACAGAGATCCATTTACATTTTGGCTTGCATTACCTAACTATAGTGAAGTTGGTTTCCAGTGCAGATTAAAGATTGACCTTTTTAAAATTACTAGGGCTGGTCTACAAACAAAAACAGAAACTAATTGTCTTAGATGGTTTGACTTGTACTCCAAAGCTCTGTTTATTAAGCTAACTGGGTATGCTAAAATTGTTAGGCATTATCTTTTGTTTTCAGTCAATTAATAATTACTAATGAGTTAAAATTTATCCTCATAAAAATTATAACATGAAACTATTGTATAAAATTTATATTTGAGAACAGTTGCTACCAGGCAAGTTTAATTTCATGCCTATAACAACCAGTCACTTTTGATGTTTCATTTTTTGCCAATGATAAATTAACTACCCTTCATTAAAGACAATAATGGGAAATTTATTCGCAAATTTTCAAACAGACGTTTCCACAAGTCTGTTTATTTTGACACCTTGTCATCAAATATCGAACAAAATTTATTTTTTTCAATATCACATCTGATACCACAATAAAATGATACTTAGTAACAGGTTTTTGGTGTCCAATAACTGTTCATATTATATTATAAATTTATCCCATGTCAACACATTTTATTGTAATGATATACCGTAAATACATCAATTATAGTGAACACAGGCACTGTACAATTAAAAGTTGATATTTTTTCTCTCCAAAAAACAAAGTAAGTCAAAATATGAAATAATAACTAATAAACTCTGGATAGTAGTATTTTGACTTCCATACAAAAAAATCACTGTTATTGTACTAATTGCCAAAATGCAAAAGATACAACAAATGGTTCTGGAAATTGGTCAATGAGTATCTTTTTGGAAACTATAGCAGGACAACAAAGAAAAAGCTTTTTAGAAATGAAAATAAAAGCATTTCTTGAGCAGGGGCCTTTAAAATAATTTGTTTTCCAATGTTTTTTTTTTTTAACTAGTAGGTATAGCTACAACTTCTTAACAAGTAGGAACACATCACCTGTAGAAAGTCAAGAGCTGGCACTTGTGTCAATAAAGACACACCAATTTTGTTTTTTGTCTGGATTGGGTTTAACATCACACCAATACAGTATAGGTCATACGACGACTTTCCAGCTTTACTGGTGGGGGAAGACATTAGGTGCCCTTCCGTGCATCATTTCAGGCACAAACGGGCACCAAGATACACCAATACTGTGAGTACATGAACCAGGTATTAGCCACATAATGTACAGTGAGACCTTTGTAGACCTGTGCCATCTGATCGTGGTCTGAACTGTTTTTCTATTTAGTCATACTTATTTTAAAATATTCCTTAAAAGCGATAAAATGGTTTTGTCCAGATTAAATGAGAGACAAGTCCATCTAAGATATATAGCATGGTCAATACTGTGGGCTGGTCATTTTCAAAATATTTATACCACTAAAAAACTGACAGTTTCAAAATTAAAACAGGAATAGTTAAATAAAATACATTAATGCAGCAAAGTATATGTTCACTAGAAAAGTCATGAAAATACATGTAATACACTATTATTATCATGTTTAAGTAACCTTGTGAAACACAACATTTTAAATTACACGAATCAGACAATGTTGAACTTTTTCATATGCCTATAAAAAAAAAAGACCTCCCAACAATGTATCGGCTGATCATTAAAGCAACAGATGGTCCAATGTTTTAATATCAAAATGCTATTTGATATGTTCTGAATTCAACATATCAATATCACATCATATTAAACAGTTCAACATTTCTGAATTATTTCCCCCTTTCTAACAGTGGCTATGTGTGGTATTGTTTTAGAAATTAGTGGTATAAATAAACTGACATGTGATTTTCAATAAATACTTTTATAACTAAATATATTAAAATAGAACTTAAATGGGGGTAAAAAACTCTCTGTAAAAAGATGGAGTTGACAGTTCAAGCCTTTTCCAAAAACACAACAGGACAGTGTGTTTGACAATCCTAATGCTAGTTAGTGGAATCATGCAGGTCAAGTTTAAGGGGGATTACTATGTCAAAATTCATGACAGAGTTATGTTCTCTTGCCAAGAAAAAGAAATTTCTGTACAAAGGGATAAAAGCTGAAAGAGCAATGTCAGGCAATATGAAAACCTAAATTAAAATTCCATTCTACAAGGTAAAATAATTTTGTGAAATCCCAGTCAGTTTTATTTCAAAATTCAAATGTGTTCTGCCCAGCTGATTTTCTAGAAATGAACTGTATACTGCAATATGTAATGCTTCTTCTAAATTAAGGGCTAGAGATTTACAATTTACTTTATTCAAAAGATTCTGGTCTTGGCATTTCCAGTCTGATACCATCCCATATTACAACCTTAAATGATATCAATTATTAAATAACTGCATTGGGTGTTTATTATTAAATGTTACACATTTTAAAAATAAGTTGAATCAAAAGGCTTAAAAGTCAGAAATAATATGCAGTCATATTTATAATAATTCTTTATGAAAGTTCATGAAGCAATATATCATTGTATATATTGAGATATGATGCTAGTGTTACACTTGTGGCATATTGTGACAACTTTACCAAAGTACTAAGTTAACAAGAGCTGTCAGTATGACAGCGTGCTTGAACAATTCTATGTGTTGTATAGTAAAACAAGAGCCTGGATAATGTAGAATTTTCCAACTTCAAAAAAGGGCCAATTTTATGTCAAAATCCATGTTAATACTATGGGCCTTGGAGTATAACCTCATATTATGCTCAAACATAAGTGTGTGAAGTTTCAACCCATTTATTTCAATGGTTTTGGGGATACCAACTTGCACACACAAACTTAGCCAAAATGTGACTGCAACACAGACAAGTACAATAGCTTTCCTTATTCTTTGAACATTCCAGCTAAAAACGACACCAGTCAGTCATGATTATTGCACAATGGTATGCAAACCTTTATAAAATTTCTTCATAAAAAGAAAATAAACATTACTAGTACCAATAGAACAAGTTGCATTGCAGGTATTAATAGTTCTCTCTCTGACAAACAAGGAATATAATGCACTTATATATTTTGTCAATCTATTAAACATCTAATAAAAACTCAATTTAAAAGCTGAAAACATGTGAATGCTTCTAGTTTTTACTCAATAACATTCTTTTTGTCGACAATGGAATAAACTATTATCATAAAAAAATATTGAATTTTTTTGTAAAGAATTTCTTTATTACAATCAAAGAAAGAACTGATATAAACTTACATGACACTGGTGGTGTCTGCCATCATCAACTGATACCTGCTGTTGAGTGTTAGTGGCAACAAAGTCTCGTTGAACTGGCATGAACTGAATCGCAAGTTTAGGATCATGCATGTGATCCTCATTCACATCGTCACCTGTCGACTCTTCAATCATCTCACCAGAATTATCAAGGTCATCATCATCATCTTCATTATCATCATCAATATTATCAACATCATCATTATCCAAATCAGCCTGAAGTAATGTAAAAATAATTCTTTTCAAAATTTCTAAAAATCTCTCTCCCTAAATATATTTTACTGCAACTATATTATGACAACTTAACCAAAATTCAATACTTTGACCTTGATGGTCAAGGTTATTTAAAGCTCAAGGTCAAGGTCAGCTTGAGTCTTGATATAATAAAAGACTGTTTACATGTCCATGTTCACAATCATCTATCTCTCTTTACTCTCTTTAACAAAAATAACAAATTACTGCCATACAATAACCTGATCAGGATATGTCTTTAATCCCAACCACGATAAATATCTTTACTGGACTATATCTTTCAATATGGACAAAACCATTGGTAAGTTTAAGGGAAAATTTCAAAATAGACACTGACTGAATAGGGAACAGTGAAAACCATGATCACACAACAAGAATGAACCTGTTGATCTAGGTCGGCACTGGTTACATGGGTACAATCAGTTGCAACCAGCAAGTTTGTGAATCCTAAAAATTGTATTGCCAGGTCATGCATATATTTTGATGTGACATCAGTTGAGTTATACAAAAATAATGCTAACTGTTAGCTTTACACTACAAGCACATCAATGAAAATGTGATTCCTTCCAACTGTAAACATTTCTTATTTTGGGTATGTGGACAAAATACAAATTCATGTGGCAGCAAACTTAATAAATTAAATTTGTTAAATCAAATAACATTTTGCCTGCCAGAAGCACACATAATATAATTTTATTTAACTTGTGTAATAAATTCAATGAAATCTACAGTCATTCAACATCCATTATTAAATGCTGCCAGCCACTATGATTCATTATTTAGCAATATGAAATTAGGCAAAGCCTATGAACGAGGAAGTGGATTAAAATAATTGTTTATTTTTTATTTAACATTTCCCGTTTTAAAAGTGTTATTCGGTATTTTATGCACTGCTTTCAATTTTAATTTGAACACCTTGACAATTATTATTGAGCTGAAAATTTGCGATTGTTCCATTATCAGAATACCCCGCCTATTATCATTTAGTTTCATTGAAAATGGCAGTGCCCAACAAGATATGACACTGAAAATTTTACTGATTTGTATAGAAATCTATATATTTTATAATTGTTTTTTATTTGAATATTCCTTTTAAATATACAGGTGTAGTCTATGGCCAGGCAAACCAAAGTCTGGCTGCGCTTTGCAAACCCAGCCTTTAACTTCCCCATATAATATATAACTTAAGATTGATGATGATTGTACCTGATTATTAGCAGGCATCATGGTATCTGAGAGATCTGTTGTCATGTTGGGATCTATGGCTCTCATTTCTTGAGATTCTTGGTCTATATCTGTCTGTAGCACAGAAATTTCCATCTCTGAAAACCAGAATAAATATCAATTTCATAGTGAACAACTAGTTATAGTTCAGCTACAACTCTTGTTCTTCAATGTGTTGGTCATATCTGCAAGGTAAACTAATGAATAAAGAAAAACCTTTATGCTAAGACGCAACAAATTCTTGTAAAAACATGTCTATGCAACACTATGCATTTCCATTCCTCTTTAATATTTTTACCTGGGGACAATTTTTCTAACAAGAAACTTCTGATGGTAACTAAATAGAGTAAAATCTACAAAGCTATCATTGCTAGTAAAATTTCTTCAACTTTATTCAACTGACCATTAAATAATCATAAAGACACATATTATTATACCTTTCACAGCATCAGTTTCACCAATTTCAGACTGGCTCCCTGTATCAACTTGTATAACATTTTCTGTAGACTGTGCCACTGACTGAACCTGTTGTGTATCCATAACAACCTGGGGTTGCCCAATCTGTTGTAACAAAGAAAGACCAACTCAATATAGATATTAGTATTATTTTCACTTAATAAGTCTTTGTAATTTTGACAAGTCAATACTTCTAAATAAGAGACTTTTAACCTATTTAAAATGCTTAAGTACTTTAGCCAACTAAAAAATAAACCAAAGCTCAAATCTATAAATTATCTATGAAACTTTATACAGTCAAAATGGCCTTAATTATTTTCTCATGCCTATTATGCTTTAATTTTATTTCATTAAAATAACACTCAGTTTGCTACCCAAATTTTTACGACTGAATGGTACACCTATAAACACCATGTCAATCTTGCAACACCAGAGATGAAGATGTTTAATTTCACCCTCATCTCTAGGTCAGTAGGAGTATTAAAAGTAACTTTTTTTAGATCTATTAGTTCATCTGCAAATACAAGCACAAGTTTGTACCCTGTCTTAACTAACCTGTTCTTGTATAATTCCAGGATTTGCAGCCATAACAAATGTCCCTGGAGGCAATTCCTGGCTTATACCCATCGGAGCAGCCTGACTTCCCTGCTGCATTGTGGCCTGATCCATGCCTATAGCTCCTAGTGTCTGCACTACCATATTAGGATTTACACCGTCCTGGATGGACATTGGCTGTAACTGGATATTTGCCAAGTTTGGAACTAAGTTAGTATCATTACCTTGGTTAGGATTTAGTGTAATATTAAAGTTCCCAGACTGTAACTGTTGTAGAATATTGGCATCTATATGAACTGTTTGGCCTATACTACTTTGATCAAGTCCAGTTATTTGAATGCCTTGTGCTATATTTCCACCTGGTAACTGGAGCTGGACTCCCTCCATACCTTGTAACTGTAGCATCGAATCATTGAGATTCCCGTACCCATCTACTGTCAGAGAAAACGGAACCATATTTGCACCAAGCATTGATTGGTCTATATTTATCACCTGACCCATTTGTATTTGTCCTTGATTTTGACCTTGTGCTATAACTTGCTGTAAAGATTGGTTTGGATCAACTTGATTTATATAGTCCATAGGTTCATTAGGCTGGGGAACTTCCTGTATATTTATATTCTGAGTATTGCGTTTTTTCCTCATCGAGGCAACATCTTTGTAGTGAGACAGGATGTGAGATTTCCGGTGCCCGGATGTCCGGAACCTCTGAGTGCAATGAGGACATTTAAATGGTTTGGCTCCAGTATGAAGACGCATGTGAACTTTCAGGCTACCCTTTGTACTGAACATTGAAGCACACACATGACATCGAATCGTCTTCTCAACTGAAAATGATGAAATCTTTAGTACAAAAACATCTCTATAAATGATGGGAAATTCTTAAGAGCAAAAAAATCCCTATAAATGATGTAAAATTCTTTAGTGCAAAAACATCTCTATAAATTATAGATTAAACAGATGAAAATTATCCATAAGAAATGTCCACAGTGTTAAAGTTATTGCTGGCTATACGATGAAAATCTATGAAATTTTGTTTTATTTATATGGATAAGTTTTTATTTCTATTTATATTTCATCTATACAACACATACAAATACACTTATCTGATCAACACATAAGTTTCTGATCATGATAAACAGAAGTTTAATTGCTCTTTCCCTAGATTGGCTAAAGAAAGTAGGAAACAAAAATTAAGTCTAACATTTACATAAAGCTAACATAATTGGTGAAGAAATGATAAATGATATGTGTATACATACATCCGCCATGTGTTTTCATGTGACTATCAAGAGTGGATTTCACAGTGAAAGTACGCCGGCAGATTCCGCAGGCAAATGGTTTCTCCCCAGTATGTATTCTAATGTGTCGAACAAGATCACTTGGCTTCTTAAAGCTTTTTGGACAGTGTGGACACTCATGGGTGTGCTTCTCAGAATGATGTAAATTTAACTCCTTCACCTGAAAATATCACATCTTTAATATGTCAGAAAAACAATAGCAAATCACCGAGATATTTTATACAAAACCATTAAGCGGAAGAAGTTACTATTTCATGACGCTGAGTGCAGGTTCAAACCTGGCAATGGAATAATTTCTTTTGGTGAGGCATAGTGTAAGAAATTTCAGTAACACTACACTGACCCATCAACTACAGTGTAACTTCCGAAAACCGAACACCCATGGGACTTGTCAAAAAGTTCGGATTTCAGAGGTTTCCGGAATTCAGAGGTTTATCATTTACGATAATGTGGACAAGACTAAGCCACTTAATATCACTAAATGTCAAGGAAGATGTGTCCATTTCTGTATTATCATATTTAATAGTCTTTTAATCAAGATAAAGATGTGCATGAAAAGAATACATTTTTATCTTACCTGCAAATTGAATTTCTATCAGTTTGTAGAAATGTTGTTAATTGCATAAACTTACATATCGTCCGATGCTAGTTAATTAATTATTACATAAAATGCAATAAAATCCCTAAAGACATTTGATGCATACATTGTCCAATTAATTGTCATTTAATCCGCTAATAAACACTCCAAATTAACTGACCGTTAATTACTTTGATTAACCGCATCACTTCAAACATACCATTTCACAGTTTGTGATTTTAACGCGTGTCAAATTACACGATCACCGCTAATCAGTAAACAATCGATAGGGAGATTAAATCTTCCTGCAGGGTAAAAATTCTCGTTTTACAATGTATTTCACACCTTTGGATATTTCCGGTTTTTGGAGGTAAAATTGCATTGATTTGACTCTAATTTTACGAAAATATCGTCCGGAATTCAGAATTTAGAAGTTCCGGAATTCAGAATTTATTATATTAATAGAAATTAGAAGGGAAAAAATCGGGACCGAAAAAAATGTTCGGTTTTTAGAAGTTTCCGGATTTCAGAAGTTCCGGAATTCGGAAGTTACACTGTACTAATTTAAAGTTCATGCAAGGATGGTGTTAATCAATGCAGTTGTATTACCAGTCCATCATAATCAGACTGGATCACTACTGGAACTATAGGAATCTGGTTGTTAACTTAACAAAAACTGACAACTATATACAACATGATGATGGTACTGTATAAATATATAACAAGAAATTACACACTTTCTGTTTGTTTGTTTGGGTTTTACGTCACATTGACACAGTATAGGTCATATCGCGACGTTCCAGCTTTACTGGTGGAGGAAGACCTCAGGTGCCCTTCCGTGCATTATTTCAGGCAATAACGAGCACCCGAGTAGAAACACCGACGTTCCGTAAGCTAGCTGGACAGCTTCCTCACATGAAAGAATCCAAAGTCCCTGCCGTGATTCGAACCCACAGCGGTGAGGGGCAAGTGGTTTGAAGTCAACGACCTTAACCACTCGGCCACACTTTCTGTACTACAACTGAAATCATTTATCACACAAAAAGATATTAAGATACATTGATCACATTATATATCCCCTCACACTTCTTATGCACCATCTCTATCAATTATTTCCTGCACAACTGCCAGGCCTATGATGTGACATTTTACAAACAACTATAAGTTTAAAACAGTTCCGTTACTATAAAACAAGACCTACCTCACTGATTCTATCTCTTTCAGAGGCAGATTCTACCAGTAATTTCTCAGACAAATTTAAATCCTGGCTGGGAGGTTTCACTACAGACTGTGGCATGTCCATAAACTGGGCTCTCCTTTTCTTTGGTGTAACAGCTGGTACAGTAACTTCATTATCCTGATCATTGTCACCATCATCATCATCATCATCATTATCTGTATCATTATTATATCATTTGTTATTATATCATTCATTATATCATTAATATCACTTTGTCCAATTTGTTATTTTCTCTGACTAGACAATAGTTTACAAAGCCCTGAAACACAAATTTCTACACTCTATCTTGCACAAATGTATGTAATGCTAAAGTTATACCCAAATAAAACAAAGTAAATGAACACATGTTTGTTGTAACTCCCATTTTCTGTTAAAAATGAGATCTCAGTTTAATGGTAGACTGCTTTTAAAGAATCTTCTGAAGTATATATGATACAGGTGAACTGTAATGGTATAAAACACTGACACCTACCTCCACCTGTATGCTCCTTCATATGTTTTTTACATATACTAGCTGTTCTAAATCCCTCCAGACAGAATGGACACTTGTAAGGTTTGATGGCCACATGGATATTCATATGTCGAGTTAGAGAACCATTCGTAGTAAACAAGGCATGACAAACACTGCATTTAAACTCCTTCACACCAGTGTGGGTACGTAAATGTTGACGTAGAACACCCATTGATACAAATGTCTTCTCACATTGTGTACATTTATATGGCTTTTCACCTATCAAAAAATAAAAATATTAAGGGTGAAAGCACATTAAAAGGTCTTACACCACAAATCTTATACTAAATAAATAGCTTTCCCACAGAGAATTTAAATAAAAACTCTGATGATGATAAACTGTTTGTAACTGAAATATGTCAAAATACCTTGCTTATTTTGTAAATTGTTAATATTTCAAATAATCACAATAAGCTTGGCTCATGCACTTTCCACTTTAATTGGCTGTAAAAATATTAAATGTATGATGCTTCAAAAATAGACCTCAAAACAAAAAACTGCAATAATGTTTCCTACTAATAAATCTTTATCAATATTAAGAACTTATTTTTTGGTTTTTGTAAAACATTAAAACCGACCTGTCACCAAATCAGCATATTTAATGTAATTATAAGGACGGATGACAAACCTGTATGAGTTCTGATATGTTGTTTTAGATGACTGGATTTCTTGAATGTTTTCTGGCAGAATTCACAGTTATATCTACTCCTACCATCTTCCTCTGACTGCTGGGACGGGACAGCTGCCTCACCCTCCGCCTCATCTCCCGTCTGATTATCTCTGTAATATATAATAATTCAACTTTTGCTTACAGACCACCTCTAAACAAAAGGTTGTCATACATAAATCGTTGATATATTAAATAAATCGGTTGATTAAAGAAAATATTTAAAATGTATCTAAAAATAACCATCATGGTTTTCAAACTTAAAGCAACAACCAGAGTCAAAACTACCTCACCTGCTGGAGCTAAAAAGTTCATAGACTCGAGTAATTCAAACCCATTTTGTTGTCTCTTATGATCACGCAGGGATAAAAGGGGGCTACAATTCTGTTGCCCCAACCATTAAAGGCAACCCTACGCCACAAGGGGAATATAAGGAAATAACTCTCTCCACATATAAATATAAAGTAAATAAATCAACAGTGTAAATTATTCATAACCACTTTTAAATTGTTTCGAACAGTTTACCTAGTTTCTAGGATATTCTCCATTGAAGTACTGGGCATCATAGCTGATGCAACAAACTGGTTCCCATTATTATGAGCTTGCTGATCCCCGGTCTGAACTGTACCAGTCTGATCTACTGAAGTAACTATCTGAATAACATTGTCTGGTTGTTGTTGTTGGTTGAAACTATTCAAGTCTACCTGATTTATATGCTGTTGCTGCTAATTTAAATAAAATACATCTTTAAAAATACATTTATATAAGTATTAAATTTGTTAAACATTCTTTTTACTTGAGAAAAGTTTTTAAGATCATGTTCCAACAATGTTGTTTTTTTGAACTGAAAAAAAAAAAGATTTATTTAATATGTAAACATGTACAAAGCGGGTCCATTTCTAATCAATCTTTGGAGAGAGGTCCTTGGAAAGTGGCAAATTATGTTCACAGCTGAAATGTTTAGATCATAAGACAACTTTGCATCTTTACCAGCCTTATCCAATACCCCATAGTGTATTATTTATTTACATGTAACATACAAATCTAGTGTGTTTTTTAGTTGATGAAAATTTCCGTCTAATGTCCCTACCAAGACAAAAACTGACCAAGATGTGACAGCACCAAGTTATTTAGCCTCGGACCCTCGGAATACCAATCGCGGCTCTGCCAACTGAGCTATCCTGCCGCTTACACATACCTGTATGCTATACTGACCAATAGCACCTGGACATTCAGCCTCCCTAAATAACAATCTACATGAACAATAAGGGAATCATACCTGTATGCCATACTGATTTTGTTGACTGATATTTGCCATGTGAGTGTTCATCTGCTCAAAGTTCTGCTGTCCTGATCCTAACAAACTCTGTGTAAATGTCTGTTGCTGGTTAAACATTGGCTGAAAAAATACATCAAATTTACCTTCTTACAAAAATATGTCACCTTCAATAACTTGAGTCAGAGAATCTTATAACCAAATAAATATAAGAAATGTCAGAAGTTGTGGTGTGGCCGAATGGTTAATCAAAAGGATGCTGGCCACACGAGTCAAACCTTGTCAGGGGCAAGCCTAATTTCCTCAAACAAGAAGCTTTATACTCCTTTCTTAGTACTGGCTGGTTCTTGGAACGAATTCCTTATGAGTGGGTCTAAAACCTTATAGCTTCCTACACAGTCGAACTAAAATAAATCTGAATAAACTAAATAAATGAAATAAATATTATGTAGAATTTCAGCAAAGCAAGCAATGGTATTTTTTTTAAAAAATAAGAACAATTTGTGCTCAAATATCTATATCTAAAGTCTTTAATTTCTAAAGATAGATAGATAATTTCAGTCAAAGCAAAACATTAACAACTATTGACATCACCATATCTTTGCCCTAGAGTACTGACAGCATTAAGTTTTGTATGGATTAGAATAACAAGAATTATGTTAATCAGATAAATTTAAACAATGATGTTTTAAACATTATACCTGTTGATTAAGGATATTCGAGTCAATTGTACTATTAGTCAGTCCTAGAGCATCATGTAGACCTGCCTGTGAGAGTATAGATTGTTGACCTAGATCTGTCTGTCCCATAGAGGAAGTTTGGTTAAGATCTTGTTGTACAAGTGTAAGATCACTATCAACTGGCTCTTCCTCCACGTATTGTTCCGTATCCTGAACAAGTTCTGCAGCGTGGCTCGCTGCCTGCGCCTGTATTATACAGTCATTGTTGTTTACATTTTTTTGGTTGGTTTTAATAGTGCTTTAACTTTTGGTCATATGGCATTTTTTCCAGCTTTACTGGTGGAGAAAAACTTTAGATGCCCACATCCCCCTCCCCTCCCATTAAATCAGGCATGAGGGGGTACTTGAGTAGAACCACCGAAGTTCTATGAGCTAGCTGGTTAGCTCACTCACATTACATATACAGAAGTCTAAGAATGATTTGCATTAATATCTTCAAATAATTTGAACATATTTTCATAACTTGGAATCTCACAAAACTACAATTTAGAAAATTTTCAGATCTTATACATTGTCAAAGAATTTGACATAGATGTTAGTTAAGACATCAACATAAAAAATATATACATACTTGCTCATTATTTTGTAATGGTGTTTGACTGGTCAAGGACTGTACTGCCAGTTCAGCCCTATAAAAAAAGAGGTTCAATGGAATACATGGTAACAAGACTAAGAATTTGTTTGTCTAAAACTAGCATCAAGTTAGATATGTTGAAAAAAAGATAACATTGGAATATTTAAAATTCTTATAATGCATGAAATATATATTAAAAGGGCACTTTAAAAGTTTGGTTTAATAATAAGAATAATAATAGATTATTTGCTTATTATGGTTATAGCCTAAAAAACCTTTTACATTATAAGAGCACTTTATTCATGCTTTAAATTTACTTCAAAATGGAAATTTATGTTGTTTTTGTGTTGTTGTTTTTTTCCTCAGGTAATTTGTTTCAATTTATATTTTGAATAAATAATTTCTCACCTGTGAGTTTTCATATGTTTTTTACAGTTCACACTTGTTTTGAATGTTCTTTGACAATATGGGCACATGAAAGGTCGAAGGTCACTATGTGTTGACATGTGACGTTTTAAACTGCCATTGGTTGAGAACAGGTTATCACACATTACACACTTATATTGTTTCAATCCAGTATGAATACGTATGTGGGCCTTCAGAACACCATTGGAGACAAATGTCCGAGAACACTGCAGACATTTGTATGGTTTTTCACCTACAAGAAATAGAATCACTTCATATTACCTTATTACAAATAATAAAGAATTAAAACGATTCCTAATGATATAAAATGTGAGAAAACAACATTATGTAGTCTTAATCCACTAGTACATGAGTTACATATTAGCAGGTATTTACTCAACAAGTGTTCATGAATTTAGTGTTCATGAATTTATCAACAACAATTTTGTTGTCCAAGGAGTTGCTGCTAATTTTTCACCACATAAATCATTTAAAAGACTGAAAAGCATTAGATATATTTTAGTCAACCAAACTTTTACAGATAAACAACTGTTATGCAAAAGACTCAATATTTGAAAATCTGAGGCCTAAACACTCTCCAAACTTGGCTAAGTGTCCTTAAATGTTTTCTAATTTTACCTGTGTGAGATCGTATATGTTGTTTCAGGTGACTGGACTTTTTAAAACCTCTCTGACAGAATGTACATTTATATGGTCTATCAACACTACCACTTTCCCCTCCCAGGTACTGGTTAAACACAGTATTTCTAGGTGGCTGCTGAATCAAACCTGAAAATTATAACCATCGTAATTGCAGTTTACATGCTACTATGTTTCGTTACAGGAAACTCATGAAATCTTTCTGGAAATTATGAATCTTAGACACCTTAAAAAATCTTTGCAGCAGTTTCCCATCACTGAATTTATGTTATGAACTGACTTTGCTAATGTACTTGTTATTTCAGTTGTTAATGTCAGGGTTTTCAGGTTCACAATAATACATTATTAAGCTGATAGAAGTTAAGACTGGTAATATCTTTATTCTTGTGACATTGCTCTGTTATTTAAGAAATAAAATATCCCAAACAGTGATTATATAGCTTAATAAAATCACTGTTTCGAGTTTGGATGCGAGGAATTTTTGATATAATGATATGTATAATGATGCGCATCCAAATTCATCAAGCTATAAAATCACTGATTTTGATATATTATTTTAATTTTTACATAATATCAACAAATAAATGCTGCCGCACCTCATTTCAAGCTTAATTGTCCTGATTTGTTTCAGCATGGCTAATTTTCTTATGGTTATGTCACATGTCAGGGCTCACGCTGTCAGTCGCCATAGTCGCCATTTGCGATTATTTTATAAGATTGGCGATTATTTTTGCATTTTGGCTACAAAATCTGGCGATTATTTTTTACTTCCAACAGCAATTATATAAGTTGTTAAAATCGATTAAGACTGCAGTAGACCAAATCAACACCAGCGGGGGTAGATTTAATCGGGTGTAAACTTTTATCGACCACGCATTGTTTACTATTGCCCGAGGTGATAAAAATCAGGGCTCACACTGGCTCAAATAAAATAATAGCCAATAATTTTAACTTAAAAAAATAATAGCCAAAAGTTCAGCTGACTATTCACGAATTAGCGATTAACAACATAAGCAGTTGATTAAATAAACATTACATTTATATCTTTCAGTTTTATAAGGATTCTCAAATAAACTGATACATTTGTGTATATTGATAACTACCTTTTTTTTAAATAGAACCACAACTTTAATTGTTATTATAGAACAGAATAAAAACGTAATAATTAGTATAATTACTGTATAACAATAATATTAAAGATTTATTATAACTTTACATAATGCTGTTATCAGACAACTTTTTTTGTTTGTTCTAATCAAATTTTGTCAGCTATAACCACTGTCAATTTCCACATTTCACACAGAACTGGAGTATATATATCTAGGTCATATTAGCCTATAGAAATAACACAAGTTTGCAAACTCATTCACAGAATGCAGCCTTTTTTCTGAATAATTAACTGAAAAATATCATCATCACCAATGTAATACAAATTTACTGCCATAGTAGTAAAGATTTTTAAACAGAACATAGCTTATTTCACCTTTAAATAAATATCAAAATTATCGGTGTCGCGAAAATATGTGACAATCGGATTTTTCCTGTTTTCTAAAGAAATATTCACAATTTTGGTTGTTGTGCAAATAGTTGTTTGGAATTTAATACTTTTTAAATATTTTACCATTGTTTTCCACTGGCGATTTAGTCAAGTAGCTTAAAACAAAAAAAATCAAAATTTGCAATTACTGGAATTCACGGTAAATTTTGGGTAAGTCAATATCCAGTTTATCAATTTTAAAACGATTTTTGTGGCTAATTGACGGATATTTGATGGCTATTATAAATGCTGGACAATATCTTTAAAGTACTTATACAATTATACATCTCGCATGTATTTTATCACCTCGGGCAATAGATCTATAGTTAGCAGCACGTGACCGGTAAAAAGTTGACACTCAATTAAATGCACCCCGCTGGTGTTAATTGGGTCTTCTGCATTCATTATCGATTTTTACACCTTTTATAAACACTGTTGGAAGTAAAAAATAATCGCCAGATTTTGTAGCCAAAATGAAAAAATAATCGCCAATCTTATAAAATAATCGCAAATGGCGACTATGGCGACCGACAGCGTGAGCCCTGAAAAATACATGCAGGTGTTAAAAACATGCAAGATTTAAAATTGTATAAGTACTTAAAAGATATTGTCCAGCATTGTAATAGCCATAAAAAATCGGTCAATAAGCTACAAAAATTGTCTTAAAATTGATAAACTGGATACTGACCAACCCAAATTTACCGTAAATTGCAGTAATGGCAAATTTTGATTTTTTTTTTCTTTTAAGCTGCTTGACTAAATCGCCAGTGGAAAACAATGATAAAATATTTAAAAAGCATTTACTTCCAAACAACTATTTGCACAACAACCAAAATTGTGAATATTTCTTCAGAAACAGAAAAAAATCCGATTGTCACATATTTTCGCGACACCGATAATTTTGATATTTATTTAAAGGTGAAAATAAGCTATCTTCTGTTTTAAATCTTTACTATTATGGCAGAAAATTTGTTTTACATTGGTGATGATGACATTTTTCAGTAAGTTATTCAGAAAAAGGCTGCATTCTGTGAATGAGATTGCAAGTGTTATTCCTGTTGGCTAATGTGACCTAGATCTACTCCAGTTCTGTGTGAAATGTAGGAATTGACAGTGGTTATAGCTGACAAAATTTGATTAGAACAAACAAAAGAAATTGTCTGATAACAGCATTATGTAAAGTTATAATGAATCTTTAATAATATTGTTATACAGTAATTATACTATATATCATACATGTGAACTTTTCACGATGATCAAGTGGGAGATTTTTCTTTAAAAAGAGGGAGATTTTAGAATTTGCAATTAACAAAGAAGAAAGTTTTGATATCAAAAAGAGGGAGATTTCTTTAATTTCTGAAAATACCCCTTATTTTAAGAAAAATCTTTGAAAATATGACTGCAGAAAGTGGGAGTCTCCCGCTTAAAGTGGGAGAGTTCACATGTATGCTATATATAACATTTTTATTCTGTCCTATAGTAACAATTAAAGTTGTATTACTATGTAAAAAAGGTAGTTATCAATATACACAAATGTATATATCAGTTTATTTCAGAACCCTTATAAAACTGAAAAAAAATTTATATGTAATGTTTATTTAATCAACTGCTTATGTTGTTAATCGCTAAATCGTGAATAGTCCGAGAAACTTTTGGCTATAATTTTTTTAAGTTAAAAATATTGGCTATTATTTTATTTGAGCCAGTGTGAGCCCTGCATGTCTAATGGTCATGTCACATGTCTAAATATAGAACATCATCATCGATTTTTTTGCACAATAATACACACTTGGTCCTTTTATGTTCAATAGAGAAAACTGCGGATCATGTAATAATATTGTATACAGTACATAAGTGGTTTAATATGATCTTTATTTTACCTGTACTATACAATTATGCATATCTTGATCATTGCACAAAGTTTAATTAATCTAGGAGTGGTGTATATTATGAGATATTTACCAGTATCTGTAATCAGTATAGGTTCTTGTAGTGGTATATCTTGTAAATCACCAAGCTTCTTTAGACCCGGATCAGACTTCAGTCTCATTGGACCTTTGTCTACTTTAAAATGAGCTGCTAGATGATTCTTTCTATGAGCAGCTGTACGGAACTTCTTATCACAGTACCCACACTCAAATGGCTTCGCTCCTGTAAATTATTGTCACTTTAATCTTTCATAATAATTTTCTTAAGTTTTCTTTAATCATTTATGACAAAGCTTAAACCAATAATAAATTAATATAAATGAACAGACCTGCTTCCATTACCATTATTGGCTTTGTTATTTTACTTGTTTATGTAAATACTGGTTAGAATAATTTCAGACTTTATATCATTTCAATGAAGGACTTATTTCAATTTCAAGAATGGCATTGCTCTAAGTAAATGTCAATTAACAGCAATTGAAATTCTGAGAAATTCTGTATAATTAACAAACACTAACAAAAGGCAATTAGATTGACAAAGCATACCTGTATGTAATCTAAGATGAACTTTAAGACTTCCATGTGTAGAGAAATTTTTATCACAGACGTTACATTTATACTGTTTTATTCCAGTATGTGTTCTAATATGAGAGTTGAGAGTACTCTTCACAGCGAAGGCTCTAAAACACTGGGTACATTTATATGGTTTCTCATGAGAATGAATTCTCGTATGACGTACAAGATCACTCGGTTTCTTAAATTCTTTCATACAGAATGCACATTGATGCCATGTAGTGGAGCCGAGCTAAAATAAAACAAAACACTCATATTTATATCTAGAAATAAACTTAACATGTAACATATATTGTTTTAAATTATTTAGTTATTATGTTATATGTATGAAAATAAATTAAATGCATAGTCTGTTTAATACTATTGGCCAATATAAAATAACATTTGTGCCTTCATTTTAACTGCCTCAATATAAAGCAATGGTGATTAGATTTATTGTAATTTCACCTATATCTTTCTTAACTTTTTAAAAAAAATCAAATAGCATAAATTCTTTTTTAAATTATGTGCTATGCATAAAAATAATTTATAGACAACCATAAATTTAACAACATTATGTTTGAAATTAAAATCCAACTTACTTTTCTAACGTAATGTTTCTTGATAGCACCAGTGGCAGTATCTCTAACATTCATGACAGACATAGTTCCCCCTGTTTTTGGGGCATTATTGTTTGCAGACCCTGGAAGACCACTGTTCTGTAGAGCTTGCTGTAGAATATCATCTTGACCTTGTACATTCTAAAATTGCAAAAAGAAAATTTATAATAAGGAAAACTGTGACTGTAACTTAAATATATAATACCAATAAGCATGAAAATTTTGTTAAGGCTGCTGTGGTGTAATGGATAGTATACTGGACCAGTAATCCAGAGACCCCTGGTTCGAATCCTGCTGCAGCATGCTGATTCTTTTGTGTGATTTTTCATATATATCTATGTCTTTGGCAATCACTTTTAATAAGTTATTCTGATACATATGGATAAAATTTCTGTCAGACAAAAAATGATGTACTTTTTTTTATTAATTAAACAAAAACATGACAGCATAGTCTACCTAAATTTATGAAAGAGAATAAGCATTACTTTTTAGAAAAAAATGCAATGCTAATTAATTGTAATAATGCTGATCGCACATTTTTGATTTAAGGTTTTAGAATAACTGTTCCAAAAATTTTAATATACTCATCAATTCAATAAAGTTTCAATAAAAAGATATATGAAGAAAGTTCATTCTTCACAAATTCTTCAATTTTCAGGTTATAAAAAATAAACATACTTTCATTTGTGTACAATAAGGGATGATCCAAAATTTTTGTCATTGTCTCAATTACATAAAAACTTGATGACGGTTGTTTTATTTTTACTACATATAAATAAACAATGAAATTTTGTATACTGACTTGCACTGTTGCAATGTTCCTACAAAACAAGTTATAAATGCAGTGACAAAACTTTTAGACCATCCCTTGTATACTAAATTTGCACAGTATTTAACAGTGTTAACAAAAGCCATACTGGTATACAATTAAAATAGAACTCCTACCTGTTGTGTCTGGGGTTGAGCAGACCCAGCCCCTGATAGCTCTAACAATTGTTGTATAACATCACCGGCTGTGTCCTTCCCCTGGTCCATATCATCATCCTTAACTTCATTTCCATGAATATCATCAAAGTCTGGCCGCTGTTAGAGAATACATGAACTTATATAGATTAACTCATCATTATTTCAAAATATTTTTGTTAGGTTAAAGTCACATCAACACTGGTAAGATTAAATCGAAACTTTCAAGCTTTCTTTGTGGAGGAAGACCTCAGGTGCTACTCTGTACATTATTTAAGGTACAAGAACTGAAGCAGTCATTTCAGTAGAACCACATACATTTTATAAGCTAGCTGGATAGCTTCCTCACATGGAAGAATCCAAAGTCCTAGGCAGGATTAAAACTTGAACCAGTGAGGGACCAATTGCTTGCAGTGTCTCTGGAACTGTGTCAGCATAACTTAATCCTCAACTCAAAAAGTTCATTACTGAAATATATTACTTTGAAATCTCAGCCAGTCAATATTTTTAATTAAATCCTTGTTGAACAAAATGCAAGATTTTATTTTTCTGTGCTAAAGTTTAACAACAGATTGCAGTCAAGCATTGAACCATATTTTACAACATTGTATTAAAGTCTTCACCATTTTTTTCTAATTTCAACTTGTAGCTAATATTCTTTTTCTTCATTTGTATATCAGTACTTTAAGCTTATATTTTTATCACACTTGAATACATTGTCTGGCCCTGAATTTGGAACTCTTAATAAGTAAGGTAAGGTATTAAAGTGTCACAGTTAGGTATAAAAGATCCGAGACACAAATAGTATAGAGACTTGACATACAGCATGAAATTGCAGGTTGGTCGGTCTCTATACTGGTGACTTAGTCACTAGCATTCAAATGAATTTGTCAGGACTGATAATAGATTTACCTCGGTATGAAATCTACTGATATGGGCATTTAGACTACCAAGCTTTTTGAAGACACAAGAGCACTCATCACATTTGTGGACCTCCCCCTCTGTCGAGCTGTCTGTAACTGAATGAACTCTCTGAAATAAATAAATACTCTCAATTTATATGTATTTATCAACATAAGTTGCATTCATCTTTAATGCAAATATCATTTTTCCAACCATGTATACAGAAATTGTTATGTCTTAAGGTGACAACAGACACTTTTCGTGGTACTCACATAAATGTCATTTAAACCAACTTATTTTAGTAATAATTGTTATTTATTTAATCTTTGTGCATTAAATGTCGTTGATCATCATAAAAAATAACATATTTGAAAAAAATGCCTTTGTAAATGATTGATTTTTAATAAAAATCCAAAAATTTTAAATCGTCATATCAAAGTCATTCTTTATTTTTTTGTCATCAAACTTTTGGAAAATAAACATACTTATAATATCTGGGGAACCGTGTCTCAAATTTTTTCTATCTTTTCTCAAAAAATTATTACGTAACGTCAAACATTTTATGCGACTTTTTTCCCCATACATATTACGTAATTAAAGATAATTAAGCCGCTGATTGAGCAAACAAAAATCCCTGACACGGTTCCCTCCGTAAATGAATTCCCTTTCATGTGCTTTAAACCACATGTTAATTGCTTGATTATTAAAAAAGTTATGCCGATTCAAAGTTAGTCCGACCCGCATCAAACGAAGTGTCATAAATCGGCTGTTCTCTCTCGGACCCCTACGTTTCACGCTTAATAATTGCATAATACACAAATATCGCACCAGAGAGGGTCACAAGTTGCGGTAACATACTCTAACAACATTTTATTACCCAGTGACACTTGACCAATTAAAAAGTTGCTGATAAATATCAGTTTATAACAGAAATTTCTTCAAATCTTAACGTGCGTCTGGTATCGGTCGCACATGTCACGTGACTTTCGGTAAAATTTGAGGCACTCGGTGGGGGGAAATGGAACGTATTTGCGCAACGCTAGCGGGGTATATAATTGTTTCACTTTTGAATATCATCAGCATTATTATTATATTATACCAGTGTCACTCTGTGTATTCGTTTATGAAATTCCGTTAAAATATAAATTAAAATAACAAAAAAATGAGCTTCTGACGGTCTTTTAAAGTCCATGGTAGATGTACAAATAAGAACGGGATATTATATATTTTTTCCTCCAAATTGATATAAATGCTTAACATATTTTAATAGAAATAAAAGGTATCACTCGATCATTAAGATCTGACCTTTTTTACTTCTATTATCATGAATATCATCTATGCATCTAAGCACGGCATAGAGATCCAGTTTCTACTGGGATATACAATAAATTCTATACTTTGTCCCAGGTTTATTAGTACTGTGTTCGATTTACTGGCGAACAATTTATTCAAACCATTCACTGATAATATATTTTATTATCTTTTTTATTGATTCATAGAGAAATAATCATCCTTAGACAACCTAAAATGGTTTAGAAATTTGTCAGGGACACCTTACCACAAGTCATATAAAGACGCTCACATAAAAAATGTTGTCTGTTTTTGTTGTTGTTTTACTTGACATTGTTAGAAAACGAGGTTGAATGTAAAGCAGGCCCTTGAATCCGTACAAAGTCTATAAACTCAATGTAATATCTATCAGATTAACGGAAAAGACAAATTATTTTCACACATTATGGATATTTTAGCAACTACAATTTTAACCAACCCCGTGGTCGTGCGATTAACCGCTATACTTAATTATTTATGTTTCATACATTATGTTACGTATATTGGCCGACAATTTTTTATTTTATAAAAAGGCTTAATAAATGGTAGAGGATATTCGGTATTTGTATGATACATGAATTACGAGTAGTATGGACCAGTATGGACCGGTAATTCACGCATATATGGAACTACCAATTTCCCTCATTGATGCCTCAACAGGGGGCGGAGCGTTATCGATAATTGACAGGTTACGCGAATAGCAGATAAAAATGGTACAGGTACCGTTTTAAATCGTTTAAAAACACATTTTTTGGACTAACTGCTTCCAAAATTAAATCACGAATGTGTTCAGAAAAGATGGATAAATCTACTAGGCAAAAAATCTCATTTTAGGTATTTTCAGTGATAATTGACTCCATTGTCACCTTAAATACAAGGACATTTTTTGTGTTGTCATATTTTATCATATATTCATCTTTTTTTAATTGAAAATTTATGTAAATGAGCAAAAAAGAGAGGAACCCCAAAATGAAAAACATCAAAAGACTTTTTCCATTCATAAACCTTAGGTGTAAATGAATGATCAATTTAGCTTTGTTGGAAGGTCTGATATAATCCCCCCCACCACCCATCATTTTACAACAAATTTATCTTTAACACTTCAGTATCTGCTCAATAATTTTTAATCAAAATAAATAATATATATGAAAAGTGTTAATTTTACAAGACCCTAAGATGTCTTTTGCCAATATGTGCTAAGCATTTTTACATTAACTGTGTAATAAGAAGAGTTGAAAAAAAAGTTTAAAACCCATTTCTCACTTAAATAAAAGACAAAACAGTATATGTACCTGAACATGAGCCCTTAAATTGCCTTTCTGAGAGAATCCAGCTTTACAAAATTGGCATTTATGAGGCTTCTTATTGGTATGACGACCAAGTACATGCATCTGTAGTGCTCCCTTCTGATTAAATGACTTGGGACAAATTTGACATTTATATGGCTTGTCACCTAAAATTTGCAAAAAAATATGATGAAACATTAATTCACAAAATAAATTCATAACATTGACAACAAAAATGCCAATTTGCAAATACTATTCCACCAGAATTAGCAAAACAGTAAACAACACTTATAATGATATTCACTGGACCACAAAATTTTATTATTATATCCTGATATTGTTATATCTGAGAGGCAGCAAATTTGAAAACAATAGTCATATCAGGACTGCGGCAAATATCAATATTAGTAACATCGTTATAAATAAAGTTTACTGTAAAGTGCTGTCTATTGTTCTTGTCTAGTTTGTTTGATATCTGAGAATAACATGAAACTGTCCATGCAACTTCTTTCCACTGATAATGATAGTAATAAAATCACAATATTTATGGAAATCGATTTACAAAAATTCATTTTGTAAACCAGAATTTTTTTTATTAAAGTAAACTAAATTTCATCTATCAGCTTACATTATATATTGCTAGTTTTGAACTTGATTTAAGAAAGGAAGAAAGTATACAAACCTGTATGTATTCTGACATGACGTTCAAGCTGACTGGGTTTCTGGAATGACTTGGAACAATGTGGACATTTCTGATTAAATCCTGATCGATCTATCTCCTTCTTATAGGTGCGATGTGACATTGACATTCTGTTTTTAATAGAATATCAAATTATTGAATAATTTTGTTTCTTTAGCTAAGGCATTTACTTGTTTAACTGATTTGGTTAAAAACTGCTCCATCTTAGAATAAAAATCTCATATTTATACAAATATACAAAGAAATTTGAAAAATATGTATGGTTCATTAAATCTCACCTATAACATCTACAGTAACCTTTAAATAAATTCTTGCATTTTTTGTTAAGTCATATATTTTATCACAAACCCGTGCCATTTTTGTGACTCCATGCATATATTTCGACGTGATGTCATTTGTGTTATTCAAACATGGTGTGATGATGTGCTAAGATTTATACTATAGGCATATCAATGAAAATAGACAGTGTTTATTCTTGGAATGTGATTAAAAGAATATTAAATTCATGCAAGTTCATAACTGAATTTATTGAACTCATGAATAAAATAATATCCTGCTTGCCAAATGCTTGCATAACATTATTTTATTCCACTCATTCAATAAATTCAGTAATGCACTTACACTCATTTAATATCTTCTATTAACATCATAAAGAGTGCCAAAATAAGTCACAATATTAAGTAAACAAGATATGTTTGTAAAACATGTATGCCCCCTATCAGCAGCCAATAAGTCATGTGATAAGGTTATTATGCATGACATCTGACCCAGTGATCAAACAATTAATAAGGGCTATCAAGTATCTACTGGTCATGACCTTAACCTTTGACCCCTTGACCCAAAACTCAATAGGGGTCATCTGCTGGTCATGACCAATCATCATACAAAGTTTGAAGTTCCTAGGCTTAAGCGTTTTTAGTTAATTGATCAGAAACCATTTTTACCTACAAGGTCAATGTGACCTTGACCTTTGACCCCTTGACCCCAAAATCAATAGGTCATCTGCTGGTCATGACCAATCACCATACCAAGTTTGAAGTTCCTAGGCTGAAGCGTTCTTTAGTTATTGATCAGAAACCGTTTTTACTTACAATGTCAATATGACCTTGACCTTTGACCCCTTGATCCCAAAACTCAATAAGGGTAATCTGCTGGTCATGACCAATCACCATACCAAGTTTGAAGTTCCTAGGCCTAAGCGTTCTTAAGTTATTGATCAGAAACCGTTTTTACTTACAAGGTCAATGTGACCTTGACCTTTGACCCCTTGACCCAAAACTCAATAGGGGTCATCTGCTGGTCACGACCAATCATCATACAAATTTTGAAGTTCCTAGGCCTAAGCGTTTTTAGTTAATTGATCGGAAACCGTTTTTGCTTACAAGGTCAATGTGACCTTGACCTTAGACCCCTTGACCCCAAAATCAATAGGGGTCATCTACTGGTCATGACCAATCACCATACCAAGTTTGAAGTTCCTAGGCCTAAGGGTTCTTTAGTTATCACTCGGAAACCATTTGGTCTACGGACCGACGGACCGACAAGTGCAAAGCAATATACCCCCTTTTCTTCGAAATGGGGGCATAATAAGTAACAATATTAAGTAGATTGCAGAAATTTCAAATAACTATCTCTGCATCAACAAATAAAGACAATTGCATTGATAAAGCATCATACTAAAACATGGTTGAAGACTGTCTGAGTTCTGTATAAAACAAGTGATCTTTACCTGATTTTGAAATGTTGTTTGGTATGATCCTTCAGGTCTTTCTGTGTCATGAACGAGGCATTACATTGCCTGCACGAGTATACACGTGTACCATCACGATCTTCTTGGTGATCTAACATATGCTTGTCAAGTTGACCCTGATAATGTATCACCATCAAATATTATCTAATCTAACTTTTAATACTTTTATCTGTACATTATATATTATAAAGCTTGATTTTCAAGCTTTATAAAAAAGAAAAGATCACAGGCACTGAAGAAAAACAATATTAATTCATATTTCTAACCATTTAGGGTGTTTTTCTTTCTAAATAAGAGAAGAATGTGTAAATTTATAATGAAATCATCATAAAAATACATATAACATTAAATCACTGCGAGATACTTTAGAATTGACTGCGAGAGTAATAAATAAAATAAGAAATAAATATAATACCATCAAAATTTCAATAACAGAACAATTATACAGTCTAACTTGCCCATGCGACCACGTGTATTAAGCGACTTTTGTCTTAAACGACCACTTTAAATTCCCCCCGATCATTTTCTCTCTATATCTTAAATGTAATAAGCGACTTTTGCTTAAAGCGACCAGCGACCGCTAATTATTCAGCTAATTGAGATCAATCTTTTCATTAAAGGACCACTTTTACCTGTCAAGTAATTGTGTTTTAAGAGAACGCCGCCTCGTAAAGTCACAAGTGTCAACAATCAAAACACAACAAATAAACGTGTGAAAAACTCTATTTCCCAAACCGTTTTAGCGTATGCAAATGAAGTTAAGTATACCCGTGACGTGTATTATCCAATAATATCGGATAAACAATGCAACGCTCCGCCCCTACTGAGATGGTGTATACGCTTCGCTTGTTGACATTTAGACTGCATTGAATTGACCTTGAACTTGATCAGCAATTAAATTAATCGTAACAATTAGATGTAGTTTGTTTATTTCAAATGAAAAAATGCACAACAGAAAACATCTTCACTAATAGGGTTTTCGTGTTGGAGACAAGGAAAAACAACGGAGAAGTTAAAAAACTCTGGAAAAAATGTCAAACATGTACGTAATTTGTCAATAAATATCAGAAAGTTATTTTTTACATTTGCATCCATTTAGATTATCGTAGCGTACTAATTATTCAACATTTATATAAAAATGAAGTTGAAAAACATTCCCACTTCATAAGAAAGATGTCATTTATAAATTTTGACTTTTATATCATGCTGACTGTCTTAAGAGACCGTTTCATTAAGCGACCGTTTTGGGTGTTTCCCTTGCGCGGTCGCTTAATACACGTTTGACTGTATTAACTTATCAGAACAGACCTGTAGTGAGAATTCATCTCCACATTCTGGACACATCAGATTCTCCTCTTTCTCGTGCATCATAATGTGAGCCTTCAGACTGGCGACACGTGAAAACTTTTTCCCACATTCCGGACAAACGGGTTTATCTCCCGGCTCAACATGCGTGGCCAGATGAAGCTTCAGATTGTCAGCGATATTAAACGAGGCCGGGCAGTTGAAACAGCGGAATGGCTTATCATCCTCATGAGATTTCATATGACGTTGATACTGGTTCCACTTCTCTAGTTTCTTCTCACAAATGTCACAGGTAAATGGACCCTTTTAATATCAATGTGATACTATTTAGACATCATTTATATTAGAAAAATGTACATAAATATTCCACATGTGAGGCAGCATGACCGAGTTGTTGACATGTCAGACCAGAAATCTAAAGGCTAATGGCAGCAAATGTTCAAACCCAGTTAGGGGAAAGCCATTGTTTCTTGGAACAAATAAACGAATTAAACAGTACTGTATGTTTCATGGAATGAACTTGAGAGCATTGTTTCTGTATAAACTAACACAGTACCAGTCTACCATAATCATTTATCATGTTAAAATGTAAATATTCAAAATTCTGCTTTTTAGAGAGGTCTACAAAAGAAATAGACTCCTTCAGAAATAAAAATAGTTACATAACTATAAGTCAAAAGTGTTTCTTACAATTAAATGTCACAGATGGACAGTTTATAACTGTGTTTATAGTAAAAGAATATGACAAACAAATTCTCAATTTACTAGTATTAGCTATGCAGTATGCCTTTAACATTACCTTTCCAATAGGTGGTTTAGTGATTTCCTCTTCAGCATGAGACTGTATATCTAGATGTTCTTGTGCATCTTGTTTGACAACATGTTCTGGTGCCGCAGTATCCATCAGAATTTGTTGTTGTTGCTGTATTTCACCTTCAATGACCGAGGACTGTTGTGTGGAGACTTGCTCAAGGACATAATGCTGTATATTCTGTGGGTCTATATTCTCTTGTTGTTCTACAAGTGCCACATGTCCTCCAGCAAACTGCACAATCTGTCAATATAGTTCATCTACCTGAGTCTATTAAACATCAATAATGCACCTATATCTGTGCAGCAAGAATATAATTTTAGCAAAAAAAAACAAGAGCTGACAGTCAGATAGCTTGCTTGACTATTTTCAATGCTTGATAGTAGATCAAGAGCCTAGATAATGTAGAATTTTCTAAAATCCAAAAAGGGCCATAATTCTGTCAAAATCTATGTTAAAGTTATAGGCCTTGGACAGTGACCTCCTATAATGCTCTCAAACAAGTGTGTAAATTTTCTATACATTTCCTTGAGTAGTTTTGGAGAAACCAAATTGTATACAAAAACTCAACAACAAAGTGTGACACCGACTCCAATCCTGGGCTTGAATAGTCAAGCTTAAAACCAGCAGAGCCATGATGGCCCTTTAACACTCACCTGCGATATATTGCCTGATAAGGTTATAATTCTTTATTGCAAAAGTAGGTATTTGGGTCACATCAGAGCAGGGAGGGCCATATATCTTAAGTCTGAGCCATGTAGCTTTACATAAGAAGATTTAAAATGGTCACTCTATTTAAATCTATGTATAACTCAGTGACCCCAAAGACTGGGTCAATTTTCATTTATGATGCTTTATTTTTTAATCTTTTGAAGAAGCTGATCCTGCTTCCTGTCCAATGTTTATGTTCTTACAGAGATAAATGGCTAGGTCATCAATTCCAGAGCATTATAAAACTCATAGAAAATGAAATCATTAATGATGGCTACATGTTTGAATTTATATAAAATTAAGCAGTTACTAAGGGAAAGATGCCTAGAGATATTTATGAAATTACTTTGTGCCAGGTGAGCTAAACAAGAGGGCCATGATGGCCCTGAGGTCGCTCACCTGTATATAGGCCCCGGAGCAGGACCAGTTTAAACCCCAGAGCTTTTATTTGAAAAAACTTGGAAGACACTCATTAGATGTTTCACAATGATTTCTCTCCCCCCCCCCCCCCCCGCAGGGCCAATTTTCATCCAAGGGATTTTATTTGAACAAACTTGGTAGACACCCATAAGAAGATGTTTCATGCTAAACATTTAAGCTTTAGCTCATTTGGTTTTTTAAAAGAAGATTATTAAAGTTTTTACTATACACATACAGTGAAAACAATGACAACCCTGGGGCATGGCTGCCAGTTTTGACCCCAGGGCTTTTTTTGAACAAACTTTGTCGACACTTACTAGAAGATGTTTCATGCTTAATATCTAAACTCTAGCTATTTGGGTTTTTTCAAAGAAGATTTTTTAAGTTTTTGCTATACACATATCAGGAAAATCAATGACCCCCCGGGGTGGGGCCAATTTTGACCCCAGGGCTTTTATTTGAACAAACTTTGTAGACACTCACTAGAACATGTTTCATGCTTAATATCTAAACTCTAGCTATTTGGGTTTTTTCAAAGAAGATTTTTTAAGTTTTTGCTATACACATATAAGGAAAATCAATGACCCCCGGGGTGGGGCCAATTTTGACCCCAGGGCTTTTATTTGAACAAACTTGGTAGACACCCATTAAAACATGTTTCATGCTAAATATCTTAGCTCTAGCTCTTTGAGTTCTTTAAAAGAAGATTTTTTAAGTTTTTACTATATGCATATAGGGAAAATCAATGACCCCCTGGGGCGGGCCAATTTTGACCCCAGGGCTTTTATTTGAACAAACTTGGTAGACACCCATTAGAACATGTTTCATGCTAAATATCTTGGCTCTAGCTCTTTGAGATATTTAAAAGAAGATTTATTAAGTTTTTACTATATGCATATAGGGAAAATCAATGACCCCCTGGGGCGGGGCCAATTTTGACCCCAGGGATTTTATTTGAACAAACTTGGTAGACACTCACTAGAAGATGTTTCATGCCAAATATCTAAGCTCTAGCTCTTTGGGTTTTTTAAAAGAAGATATTTAAAGTTTTTTCTTTTGGTTGCCGGCAACCAACCAGAGTTCTACATCGAATTATATTCTTTGAACAATTTTTAAAGGTGACCACCAAAGGAACATTCCTGTGAAGTTTGGATGAAATTGGCTTAGTGGTTTATGAGGAGATGTCATTTTAAGTAAAAGTTTACAGACGGACTCCGGACGAAAAGCGATCACAAAAGCTCACCCTGTCACTTTGTGACAGGTGAGCTAAAAAAACAGGTAACCCCCAAAACACTTTTTTACAGGTTGAAGTAAGATATAAATAATAAAAATGTTGCCGAAATCTAGCAAAATTACTGAAACTTTAAAAGTTTGCAAGGTTGACTGCCTTGTGGATAAATTGTCACCACACAATTCAGGTATTGTCAGAGCCAAAATTATTCCATAACATTGAATTATCATATAACTATAGTATTGTTTTGTGCATGAAACAGACTCAATAGTGATTTAAGGCAGCATCATTTGTCCAAATCATACTGAAATTAATAAGCTGAAACAAATATTTATCTAACATTTATTTGAAAAATAAATACCTGAGTAAGTCCTTCCATATTACCACCAGAAACCATGGTTGGGGTGGCAAGTTGAATGATGGACGTTCCATCACTACTTTGTATGAAAGGTATAGACCCATCCAATATTTGTATGCCATTTGGAAACCCCTCTGTTATATAAATTGGTTGGCCCTGATCTGCCATTTGTACAATTGGAGCAACAGAGCCCTCTGGCATCTATTAAAGACAAAGAGACCAATACATTAATTTTGTACATCTATACTACTTCTTCTTGGTTCCAAGGACTTCAATCTAAATTGTTTTTTTTTCCAAATTGATACATATAAGAATTACAAAGATAATAAATTATTATTATTATTATACAAGGTAGAAGCTAGTATAAGGTAGTACACATATTTGGGGGTAATCTTCACGCTTAATTCTTAGAGAAAGGTAAAAAAATAAATGATTTAAAACCATGACAATTGAAAATTAATTTCAATATTTGACTAATGATCTAACCTGTATGATAGTGCCACCTGGTACAGCATCTTGTACCTGTAATATAGGAGCCGTGACATCAGAAACCTGCACAACTGGATTAACAATGCTTTGGCTCCCCTGCTGCTGACTGGCTAAATATTTAGCCAAATCTGAAATACAAAAATGTTCATTAAAAACCTTACAGAAAACAGCCATAAACATGTTTATTTTATACTACATCATGATTATACAATCTTCATTCTCTGCTATTGACTTCAAATGCTTTCAAGATACATTTGAATTGAACATAATTTAATCTTTTCAGAGATTTTTCTTCCCAAAATAAAGTTTAATATTATAATTATTATCAAACGGCAAACGTCTTAAAAACTGATGTATCAACTGTACAATATTGTCTCCCAATAATACAGGGAAGTCAAAGGATGGTCTGCAAAGCAAGCCCGCGTTTTGGCTTGCCGACTTTAGACTTCACATGTATATTTAAAAGGAAATCAAATTAAAAACAATTTAAAAAATGTATAAATTTCTGATAATACATATCGGAGAAATTTTCTCTCTTTACATGTGAACTCTCCCACTTTAAGCGGGAGACACCCGCTTTCTGAAGCCGTATTTTCAAAGATTTTTCTTAAAATAAGGGGTATTTTCACAAATTAAAGAAATCTGCCTATTTTTGATGTCAGAATTTCCTTCTTTGTTTATTGCAAATTCTAAAATCTCCCTCTTTTTGAAAAAATATGTCACATTTGATCATCAAAAAAAGTTCACATGTATGAGTTGGGCCTCGCCAATTTTTTTGTAACTCAATGATAATTGGCCGGGTTTTCCTTCAACGTAACAATCGTAACTATTTTGCTTAATAATAATTGTCTACTGGTTGGGGACCACCAAAACCGGACAACCACCAAACCAGGACGGCCCAGAAAATGCTTAATTAAGATATTTTTCTTTGTTCATTGGTTGTCAATCTATCAGTCACTTAATAACAACAATAAATGCATGTTTCTTCTATAACTAAGTAATTAAATTTATTTCAACGGTAATATTCTAAGGTCTATTTTAAGAATGCTGACATTGAAAATTTGGGGGTTAAGAGTGCAATACCTGACCTCATATACCAGTTATTATCATTTGCAGAGTAAACAATAGAATATCCAAAACGTCAGCATTTGCTGCTAAAATATTGTATATCATGTTAAAAATAAAAAATTAAAACACCCTAGCATTTGAATGAATTAAATCACATCATGTACATATCTGTCCGGACACATGGTACTGAAGTGTAGACAATTTAGGTAATTTTGATACCCTCCTTGACGAGCATCAGGTATAAGTGTCAATATAATCAGAAACAAGCAATTATCATAGTATTGCAAGCAATCCATAAGTCCCCTACCGGTAAGAGCCCAAGCAACATTCTGAAGGGCCATTGGCCATTCACTTATGTTCCTATTTTAAGTAAATTTGTTGAAAAAGTTATCACAGGAAACAGTTTTTATGTACAGACAGACGGACTGAAGGACACTCTAAAGTTATTTTTTAAACATCCCTGTTATCAAAATATAACATTTTTAAAATCCTATCATGATTGAAGAAGTTGGAGTAAAAATTACCAATTTCTCAAAAAAAAAATCTAAGTTCAAAAGGGGCATAATTCTGGAAATAGTCTTGCTAGAGTATTGAATACTCACAAATGTTGAGTGATAATATGAAACATTTATATGAAGTTTGAAGTAGATACATTCAGAAAAAGAAGTTATTAAAAAAAAAAAAATGTTTTTTCATGAAAATTTTAAGTTCAAGGGAGGTAATTCTGATAAATTTTGAGCTAGAGTTGTAAACCTTGTCACATATGATGTGGTTGATTACAAGCAACTTATATTTAAGGTGACAACGGAGTCAATTATCACTGAAAATACCTAAAATGAGATTTTTTGCTAAGTAGATTTATCAACCTTTTCTGAACACATTCGTGATTTAATTTTGGAAGCAGTTAGTCCAAAAAATGTGTTTTTAAACGTTTTAAAACGGTACCTATACTATTTGTATCTGCTATTCGCGTAACCTGTCGATTATCGATAACGCTCCGCCCCCTGTTGAGGCATCAATGAGGGAAATCGGTAGTTCCATATATGCGTGAATTACAGGTCCATACTGGTCCATACTACTCGTAATACATGTATCGTACAACTACCGTACATCTTTTATGAATATCTCAACATTTAGCCTTTTTTTATAAATTAAAAAATTGTCGGCCAATGTACGTAACATAATGTATGAAACATAAATAATTAAGCATAGCGGCAAATCGCACGACCAAGGGGTTGATTAACAAGAGCTGTCCGTAAGACAGCGCGCTCGACTTTTTTATTGCTTGCCAATAAAAAAAGTTTTTGCAGTAAAAGGCAATACAAGAATCTCTGTATTTTTAAAGTGAACAATGGCCATGAGCATTAAGATATTCAGTGAAGAATTATTTTACTGAATTGAATATTACAGCAATGTTTATATGACATAATTTATGGTAAAGTGAACAAGTGGATAGGAATGAATTTTTTTAGATTTTTTAAGTTTTTTAGTGCTTGCCTATAATACAAAACATTGACAGTTAAGGGCCATAATTCAAATAAAATCTTTGACAGAATTACCTTCTCCTGGACATGTTTGGGAATCATGATTGTAAACAAGTATTCCAACTTTCAAATTAATATCTCAAACAGTTCAGTCAAAAAGTGGACTGGTACTAAAAACTTAACCAAGATTCTAAGTCGATAAAAGGCCTTAATTTTTAAAACAAATCCTTGACAGAGTTACCTTCTCTTGCGTACAGATGGGGGTAATGATGTGAAATAGCATTAAAAGTTTCAAAGCAATATCTCAAAGGGTTAAGGCAATAAGTGGATTTTACCCATATTCAATGTATTTTCTAAGTCAAAAAGGGGCATAATTCTGTCAAAAACCTTGACAGAGTTATGTCCTCTTGTCTGTTGATGAAGGTCGTGATGGTAAACAAGTATGGTCAGTTTCAAAGCAATACCTCCAATGGTTTTGAAATAAAGTGAGGTGGTACAAAAAACTTAACCAAGCTCAATACACTTTCTAAGTCAAAAAAGGGCCATAATTCTGTCAAAAACCTTGACAGAGTTATGTACTCTTGTCTGTAGATGGAGGTTATGATGGTGAACAAGTATGGTAAGTTTCAAAGCCATACTTGTAATACTTCTGAAATAAAGTGGGGTGGTACGAAAAACTTAACCAAGGTGTGACGCCAACGCCAACGCCGACGCCGACGCCGGGGCGAGTAGGATAGCTCCCCTTTTCATAGAAAAGTCGAGCTAAAAATGTAGTTGCTAAAATATCCATAATGTGTGAGAATAATTTGTCTGTCCCGTTAATCTGATAGATATTACATTGAGTTGATAGACTTTTGTACGGATTCAAGGGTTTACTTTACATTCAACCTCGTTTTCTAACAATGTCAAGTAAAACAATTAACAACAAAAACAGACAACATTTTTTATGTGAACGCCTATATGACTTGCGGTAAGGTGTCCCTGACAAATTTCTAAACCATTTTAGATTGTCTAAGGATGATTATTTCTCTATGAATAAAAAAAAAGATATTAAAATATATTTTCAGTGAAAATAAATTGTTCGCCAGTAAATCGGACACAGTACTAATAAATCTGGGACAAAGTATGAAATTTATTGTCTATCCCGGTAGAAACTGGATCTTTATGCCGTGCATAGATGATATTCATGATAATAGAAGTCAAGAAGGCCAGATCATAATGATCGAGTAATATCTTTTATTTCTATTAAAATATGTGAAGCATTATCAATTTGGTGGAAAAAAATATATAATATCCCGTTCTTATTTGTACATCTACCATGGACTTTAAAAGACTGTCAGAAGCTCAGTTTTTTGTTTATTTTATTTTATATTTTAACGGAATTTCATACACGAATACACAGGCAGAGTGACACTGGTATAATACAATAATAATGCTGATGATAATATTTAATAAACTTCAAAAAGGAAACAATTAAATACCCCGCTAGCGGTGCGCAATGCGTTCCATTTCCCCCCACTGAGTGCCTCATATTTTACCGATAGTCACGTGACATGTGCGACAGATACCAGACGGAAAGTAAATCACGTTAAGAATTGAAGAAATTTCGGCTATAAACTGATATTAATCAGCAGCTTTTTTAATTGGTCAGATGTCACTGGGTCATAAAATGTTGTTAGAGTATGTTACCGCAACTTGTGACCCTCTCTGGTGCGATATTTGTGTATTATGCAATTATTTAGCGTGAAACGTAGGGGTCCGAGAGAGAACAGCCGATTTATGACACTTCGTTTGATGCGGGTCGGACTAACTTTGAACCGGCATAACTTTTTTAATAATCAAGCAATTAACATGCGGTTTAAAGCACATGAAAGGAAATTCATTTACGGAGGGAACCGTGTCAGGGATTTTTGTTTGCTCAATCAGCGACTTAATTATCTTTAATTACGTAATATGTATGGTGAAAAAAGTCGCATAAAATGTTTGACGTTACGTAATATTTTTTTGAGAAAAGATAGAAAAAATTTGAGACATGGTTCCCCAGATAATATAAGTATGGTTATTTTCCAAAAGTTTGATGACAAAAAATAAAAAAATGACTTTGATATGACGATTTAAAATTTTAGGATTTTTATTCAAAATCAATCATTTACAAAGGCATTTTTTCAAATATGTTATTTTTTATGATGATCAACGATATTTAATGCACAAAGATTAAATAAATAACAATTATTACTTAAATAACTTAGTTTAAATGACATTTATGTGAGTACCACGGAAAGTGTCTGTTGTCACCTTAAAGTTTGAAGAAAATACCTTAAGAAATAAAGAACTTATTGTGAAAAAAACTTAAAATCTAGAATCAGAAATCTTGAAATTCAGTCTATTTGTTGCCATAGCAACCATAATTTTCAACATAGGAAGATAAGAAAAGGATGTGCATAATTTCCATACTGACATATACCCATATGTTAAGTTTCATAAACATATTTTCAGTACTTTTTGTGTTATCACTGGATCCACGTTATGTGTAAAATTTGCCATATTTTCAGTCTATTTGTTGCCATAGCAACCAGAATTTTCAACATAGGAAGAAAAGAAAAAGACGTGCATAATCTCCATACTGCCATCTATCCATATATCAAGTTTCATAAAAATATTTTCAGTACTTTTTGCGTTATTGCAGGATCCAGGTTATGTGTAAAATTTGCCATATTTTCAGTCTATTTGTTGCCATAGCAACCAGAATTTTCAACATAGGAAGAAAAGAAAAAGACGTGCATAATCTCCATACTGCCATCTAACCATATATCAAGTTTCATTAAAATATTTTCAGTACTTTTTGTGTTATCGCGGGATCCAGTTTTGTGGACGGACGGACTGACTGACTGACGGACGGACAGACGGACGGACGGACAGACGGACGGAGGGTAAACCTAAAGTCCCCTCCGGTAAACCGGTAGGGGACTAATAAACAAACAAGTATGTTTGTCAGGGGAAGAACCTATCTATAGCTGTGCTGTGTCAAATTTTCAGGTCTCTAGGTTTGAAATTATGAAATCTTTATGGAAAAATGTTTAAAAAGAGTCCGGTTGATGGTTCCCCGACCAGTAGGTGTTCTAATTGAAAACGGAACAGCTATAGGTGCATGAAATACCGGATGACAAGTTTAAAATGAAAAATGAACACAATTTTTTAATCTGACTTCCCCTGTTTATAGGCTCTGCCTACTTTCATTATAGGCCTACTCAGATTTGAGACATTAATGCTGATGCTTCTCAACATTTTATTGATAATTGATTACAAATACTCAAATAGCCCTGAAATGACAAAATTAAAAGTCAACAGGTATTTTTTTTTAATTTTATGATTAACAAGAAAACACCCAGTAGAGCCGTCAGAATACAAGTCATTTGAATCAAATAAATACTGTCATAAGTATATTGTGTATCTGGAATCAATACTAAACATAAAAAATCTTGTAATGAGACGGTCAATTTCTACTTTCAGTTTCATTTTGTAAATAAGTCAAAAATATAGGTCAGCAACAGTTTCCTGTGAAAAAAAAATGAAACCATGGCGAAAATAACAAACTATTGGATGCCTTTGTGCTTCGATTTTTTAAAAGCAACGCTAGGGACTACTTCAGTTATCCTGAAACAAAAATGTAAAATTAAACAAATTAAACCATGTTGTGTATGAATACCTAAAATTCATTCGCGAATGTGAAGTTCCACGTATCATTCCGCTCGAACCTGTCTCGGCCGAAGGACACAAAAATAGCTCGCACATTTTAACACCCATGCAATATGTAGAACAAAACTATTCAGCCATATAACATTTTATCATTTCATAAAGAAAATAAGTCATACCAGGAATACTTTCAATGGGTACTTCAAGAGTATGATGCGCGTCTATAGACATATTTCATTTTGTAGTTAAAACAAAATGGCGGTCAATGCAGCGTTAGAAATTTTCAAAACGAGGTTGCTAGTGATCAAAGGCCCGGATGTAAATAAATTGCAGACGACATTGAAAACTACAACAACAACAACAGTGTACTGCTAGAGAAAAGTCGAATGAATAAATTTCTAGTTATTTGAATATTATTAGAATGCTAGGCATACTATATTTTCAGTCCAAACATTCAACCATGAAATTTATTGGGTCGAATATAGGAGAAAGATAAATCTAAGTAAGCATTCATATTCTTTTCTTTATTAAAATAAACTTTCTTAAAGGGAAAGGTTCCTGCCAGAAAACTTTGATAAGTAGATGGATAAAAGCATAACTGAGGACTAAAACACTTACAACGTCACTTGTACATCTTATTTGTAAAGGCATGAAAGACAACTCCTACTAATTCTGTCTTAAATTTCGACAAATTACTTCCCTGGCATGTATGGGAAGATTATTATGAAAACCTTTGACGTGAAAAATAGTAATTCATGGGGACAAATACTGGACTGGTGTGTTTATTTACAATTGGTTAGGGTTATCAGTGCAATGCCAGGGTCTTGTCTGAAAGTGTTTGTCTTGTAGAGTTCATTTAATTCCATAACATCAGCAGTGTTTTCGCTACAGTAATCTGTGTTTCTTGCATTTTTCATTTGATGCAATAATTTCAAGAATGACGCATTGAAATTTGCAAAGTGTACTTTCTATGACACAGTCATAATCTACCTTAATTGGATTCTTTTCATTAAGTTATTTCTCTTGTATTTAGCGCCATCCAAGTTTCGAATTTAGCTTTTTTTTTCTACTTGCAAATTTTTGCCAGTAGCAAAGTGTTTAACTGGCAATTTGAGGTAAAAAATTGGCATTCCCATGATCGCATATCTTTTATCAGTATAATACTCATTGGCAATTTATTAAACTCAGTGATTTTTCTCACTTGCCTTAGCCACTTGATTTTGGGAAAAATTATTGCTAAAATTGCTAATTTGGGAAGTAATAAAGCAGGTTTAAGTTCAGAGTTTTTGGCAAACTGCATGATTTTAAAGAAAATTTCAGTTGGGAAGAGGCCTTTTATAGGAGTCTGCTCAGGTTTTTTTTCCCAGGACTTTGGGAACATGACCCATACCCATGGAATTTGGAATTATAGCCATGTTTTGCTAAAAATTGGGAAAAATGCATGACTTAAATTTTGCAGTGATTAAATGAATGCAATGAATATCTGTCTAGGATGGCATCTTCAAACATTAATTTTAAGCACCATTACATTGAAGAAGTTCTTATTTTCAAAGATTTTATAATTTGTCATTCAATATTTTTATTTTGTAACTTTCAATTGGGAATTTTTTCCTGTGGATTGGAACAAAAATATACTATTTTCAATTGGGAATATGACCATCGCTATAAAATAAGCCAAAAAAAATATCCCTGCTGTTATATAAGCAGGAAAATCACTGAAATTTTAAACATAACATGGTATGACAAATGATGTCATATAGGCTGCATGAGACATAGTAAAAATTTGAAATTTTCAATTTGTGTTGTGCGTAGCTCAAGAAGTCATAAAAATTAATTGGAATGTTGGTCTGCATGTGTAATTGTGCACCTGGGGTTTATTCAGTATTTGTAGAGTTATTGACCTTGATTTAGTAAAAATTTACAATTTTCATCTTGTGTCGCACATAGCTAAAAAAATGTTTGACTTATAGTCTTGAAACTTTTCAGGAATGTTGATAAGCATGTGGTGTTGTGCACCTTGAGATTGTGGATTAATACTGCTTTGTTATTGCCCTTGACTTACATGTAGTAAAAATTTCCAATTTTCAATTTGTGTCGCACATAACTCAAAAAGTATTTGACTTAGAGTCATTAAACTTTATAGGCATGATGCAGGGTTTCTACTAGGCATTTTTATTTAAGAGTCCCAGGGACTCGTGCTCATAAAATATGAGGTGCCCAGAGAAAAATATGAGGGTCCTCATGGGCGGCGAAATCAATTGTCCGTATTGCCCAGGTTGTCCCACAGCCTGTACGGACAAGTGGAAATTTTCTAAAATTTACTATACAAGTATCATACGGACAAGTAAGGAAATGCTTCAAGTAAAAACGGACAAGTTAGTCAAAATCAGATTTTGCCGGCCCTGGTCCTAATCATTTATTACTTTAAAAGTAAGGTGTTACTTATATATATTGTCTAGGTTTAATTCTTTACATTTATATATATTGTTCAACTACATATGCATTTTTATTGACTTTGTTAAATAAAATAAAAAATATAAACCATTTATTATTTATTGTTACTTTTTAATTTTTCATTTCTTTCATTTGGCTGAATGTTTGTGTAACTTGCATAAAGTCAAGATCTTTCACATCTGGTCCGACTAATTTTATCAATTGTTTAACTGCATATACGTCTTGATGACGGACAAATGTATCTACTATTTTGGAAGTTCAAACATCCATTTTCTGAGGCAAATGGATTACATTTTATGGTTGAGACGCAACGGCTGCATTTCATATCCGTGGTCGTCTCGTTTTGGACGAGCCACGGGTAAGTTAACTTAGCCACTTTTCATTAAAATTGGGGGAGCAGCCGACATGTTTTACAAATTATTTTATAACAAAAAACGCATAGACTGGGACGCTTTTTTAAGGTCGACTAAATTCTAGTGTGCGCCGTTTTTTTTCCGTATTAAACTGTAATTAATTGAAAGAAAGATAACTCTGCTTTATTCAATATTAGAACCCGTCTACCAAATTACGTCATTTCCTTTAAAGAAGCGGAAGGAATTTCCAAATGATATTTACGGAGGAAAATTTAATTTGCGTCCCCATGGACGCACACTTAGAGTAACTGAGGGTCCTAGGTTACTATTTTTGCGTCAAGGACGCAGGAAATGTGCGTCAATAGAAACCCTGATGATGGTCAGCATGTGCAGTTTTCCACCAGGGATTGTGTATTTATTCAGTATTTGTAGAGTTATTGCCCTTGACTTAGTAAAAGTTTTCAATTTTCAACTTGCCTCGTGTATATCTCAAAAGTATTTGACTTACTGTCATGAAACTTTACAGAAATGTTGGTTGGCATATGTAGTTGTGCACCTGGGGGTTTGATTGTGGATTTATTCAGTATTTGTAGAGTTATTGCCCTTGACTTAGTTAAAACCATTTCAAAATGTTGTGTTATACAGTCAACTATCGTTATCTCGACATCGCTTTTCTTGATATTTCGTTATCTCGATGAAATTTTGAAAGTCCCGATTTTCTTCCTTCTTTATCTATATTGGAAATGTTTGTTTATCTCGATATTTTTATTTCGATATTTTCAGTATCTCGATGTAAAATTTTTGCCCCAACAGTTATTTTCACACTATTATCCTTTGTTTATCTCAACTAATAGTTTTATTTTGTCTGTTCCCTTCAGACGTGTGAAAAACATAAACTAAACGATAATTGCTCAATAGCGCATGTCATAATGATGATTATGTTTGTAACAAGTTTAGCGGTTTTTATATAAGTTGATCTATTTAGCGTGTTGATTGACTTATGTCAAAAATGAGTGAATTTTACGTTCTTTAATATGCGAACACTGTATCAATTCATTATGACTTTAAATGTAAAAGAAATAGTGAAAGTATAGAAACGCTATCGTTGCAATATTGTTTCACAACATCACCACCAATCAATCAGCGATCGAACAATCTCGAGACCCGATAAATAACCCGGGAGGATATTCGGATCAACCACCCTGAAAACAAAGTTTTTACCATATTTGTGTATTACTGAGTAAACCTCACAATGTGTTTTTTTATCGCAGACACCTGTATTTCCGCTGGTAAACATCCGCTAATGTAACTTTGTTAAATTTAACTAGGCCTATGGAAACAAGACATAGGGATATCATAGTTTATTTGACATAAGGTATGCACATGTCTTTTGTAAAAATCAGTTTCAAACCCTTATATGTTTATCTCGACATTTCGTTATCTCGATATTTTTGGACGGTCCCGATGACTTCGAGATAACGAGAGTCGACTGTATGTACCTTGAGTGCTTGAGTTAGAATCAACCAACTTTATAGGATAATCAACATAACTGTGAAACTGTGCACCAGGGATTTTGCTTGGTGATTATTTCTTAGTATTGTTTGACTTAATATTACAGTCAAACTTGTATTAAGCGACCGTGCAAGGGAAACACCCAAAACGCTCGCTTAATGAAACGGTCTCTTAAGACAGTCAGCATGATATAAAGTCAAAGTTTATAAATGACATCTTTCTTATGAAGTGGGAATGTTTTTCAACTTTATTTTTATATAAATGTTGAATAATTAGTACGCTCCGATGCAAATGTAAAAAAAACCTTTCTGTTCTGTTATTTATTGACAAATTGCGTACATGTTTGACATTTTTTCCAGAATATTATTATTTTTAACTTCTCCGTTGTTTTTCCTTGTCTCCAACACGAAAACCGTATTAGTGAAGATGTTTTCTGTTGTGCATTTTTTCATTTGAAATAAACAAACTACATCTAACTGTTACGATTAATTTAATTGCTGATCAAGTTCAAGGTCAATTCAATGCAGTCTAAATGTCAACAAGCGAAGCGTATACACCATCTCAGTAGGGGCGGAGCGTTGCATTGTTTATCCGATATTATTGGATAATACACGTCACGGGTATACTTAACTTCATTTGCATACACTAAAACGGTTTGGGAAATAGAGTTTTTCACACATTTATTTGTTGTGTTTTGATTGTTGACACTTGTGACATTACGAGGTGGCGTTCTCTAAAAACACAATTACTTGACAGGTAAAAGTGGCCGTTTAATGAAAAGATTGATCTCAATTAGGTGACTAATTAGCGGTCGCTGGTCGCGTTGAGCAAAAGTCGCTCAATACATTAAAGAAAAAGAGAGAAAATGATCGGGGGGAATGTAAAGAGGTCGTTTAAGACAAAAGTCGCTTAATACACGTGGTCGCATAGGCAAGTTAGACTGTAATTATAGATTTGTTCATGCATAGCTCAAAAAGTATTTGACCTGTAGTCTTGAAAGAATACAAGAATATTAGTCAGCATGTGTAGTTATACACCTTGGGGTTTGATTGTGGATTTATCAAGTATTTGTAGTTTTTATCATTGACTTAGTAAAAGATCTTCAGTTTTTAATTTGTATCACATGTAGCCCAAAACATTTGATCTAGAGTCAGTATATTGACAAAACATTAGAATGTGGGGG